CTGGGAAGTCGCCTTTGGGGCGCAGTGTCTTGATGGCTCAGGTGCGACACAATCAGATCCGCTTCAGCAGTCGCCAAAAACCTTGCATCAGATGTACCCCTGAAATCGATTTCCTTCGTGGTGAGCAGGGACATGTCGCCATGGGGGATTTCTTGGACGACACGACCATCAAGTGGCTCTCAAACAAGATGTTGAAGTCCTTGCTGGACGTGGGTCTATATGAGGCCATGTCATGGGCACGCTGGGGTGCTGTGAAATGGGTACAGAATCAGCCTCGAGCCGTCGCTGACAATACTTTCGATGAGGACTACAAGGTCAAAACAGAGAGCTTCTTGCCCAGTGTCCCCCACGAGGAGTTCTCCAATATCATCAAGCCTGCATTCGGTCCTGACATCACCAAAGCCCACATGAATGCAATCTTCAAGCGAAGCGTCTTCGTGGTAAACACAGACACGCACATCTACTACAGAAAGGCTGGCATCAATCAAGATCGCATTCCTCGTATCGAAATTCCAAATGCGGAGTATATGACGGATGCGGGCAAAGCCTTGTACGGTGTCTTCAAGGATGGTGGTCGTCTTCTACCTCCCGACTTCAACGCCCAGGTGCGTCGGGAGCAGGAATGGGTGTCGAAACTTGTTGAGAAACGCCAACAGGAGCGCCGTCCAGACCATCAGAAACGCTTGCAAGTTCGTGAGGCTCTGTTCGGCCGCGAACCTACCTCATCGGAGCCTCTCCACCGGCGCATCAAGAGGGAACAAGCGGGGGCTCACGCAGAAGCGGTGAGCAAGAAGGCTAGGACATGGGCCACGGAGCTGAAAGCTTCCAAGTCCGTCATCGACCTGGACACGCCGCCACGCCGTTCTTCTGAGCCGGCAAGGCTTGTGCATGTTCCCAACCCAGATTTCGCAAACGACTCCGAGGAGATGGACGTGGTGTCGGAGGAAGAGAATGATCCGCTGGGTTTGGGCATGCACATGGACTGAAGCGCACTTGCTAGGGCTAGATGCTCAGTTTTGCAACCCGCGTAGCTTTCCGATGTTCTTGGTGCTCCCTGCAGTTGCTCGTGGTGATCACCGTAACTATCCATGCTGTTACCATCCTCCGTAATGGTTTCGCATGCTACTTATCTGTCTTCGCAGAACTGCTTTGGAGCACGCACGCAGACCCCATCATGACTTCGCCGCACAAGAAAAAGGTCATGCATTGCACTGCTATATCTCTTGCTGTTGTTGAGATCTTTCGGTGCTGCGCAATGGACTCTTTGCTCATGATGCATGCTTTCGTCGAGTACACTCAGCACGTGCCTCATATCTGTGCTGTAGCGAGCTTCTCAAGTATACAGGTTTGCAGCTTTCGTCAACGACCTCGCTTCCCATGCCGCTCCTCCCAAGCAAACTACGAACGTACAAATACCCGGGTCGGAAATGTCCCGTCTGCTCTGGTAATCTGTACTTCTCCAAGGCAACGAACAGCTTCGCATCGGCGACTTGCCTTGACAGTGAAACGCTTACACTGGTGCGGTCGCAGGCCTCACGATGCAATAGCTGTGGTAGTGCACTTCGTCACAACTTCGTCTGGTTGGGTGGCCAGAAGATCAACTGTATGACCTTTCACCAGATGCAGAGAGCAGGTGTCTACTTCGTGACCCAGAAGACGTGCTTCACCATGAAGTACCTGCATCTGTGCTACCTCCGCCTACTCCGTGCCAAGACCTCCCCTGGACAAGAAGCCGCTGTTCGTCTCCTGGCAGATTCGCACCACCCGCTACAGTTTTGGCAAGAACATTCCTTGCGCGATAATCTCCTGCACGCCCTCGAGGGCTTCGCCGTGGCCAAGAATGAGCCGGATGAGGTCATAGAGTTTAACCTTGAGTACCCCGCGAAGTCCATCGTGAACATGTCCGGTGCGTCGTCCCACGTCCATGTCTTCGAGCCGCCCACGTCCGTTACCGCGGTCTGCTGCGACGGCAACTTCGGAGTTCATCGTGCTCTGCTTTCAGGAGTGGACCCTCCCAGGTCTGTGAGACTGAAAGGCAAGCCACGCAAGCTCATTGGTGATTTCACACGCACATGCTCCTGCAAACAGAAGGACGCTGTACGTCAGGTGCTACCCGATCGGACTGCTGGATGGCAATTTGTCTTGGACCCTTCCTCTCAACGTCTTCTTGGGGCTTGCGAACATCTCGTAAATGAACGGTCGTCCGACAAAGTTCGACTCCTGCAAGCCGTCCTCGATATGCCAAACATGAAGGTTGACCTCATTATCCATGATGATGCCTGCCACTTGGAGGAGTCCGTTTCCTGCTTTCGTTGCTTTACATTGCTTTTGCTTTGCTGGTTCTGCTAGTTGTTGTGTCTACTACAACTTCATGCGCAGGAGTTTATCAAGAAGCACAAGGCATCTGGCTTCCAGGATGTCAAATACTACATCATCGACAAGTTTCACCGGCCGAATCATACCTGCAGTAAAAGAAAACTCACTAGGGCCGAAGACCGCCGTGCCCGCGACACGCGTACCAACACCGCGGAAATCTTTAATGCGTGGATTCGCCCCCTGAACTTTTTTCTGAACAGCCTGCGACCCCACAGTCACAAATTTTGGGTACTGGAGGCATGCAAGTTCTTTAACCTCCATGGTCGGGCGCAGCACGGAGTGCTGACTCGACGAACGACTGCCAAATCACGCAGTGTTCACAAGAGGCCCAGCGCGAAGCGCCTGAAGCGATGACGACAATAGGCCGCGACCTTATTGCTCAGGGACAGCAAAAGAAACGCTGTTGCTGCATGCCGTGCTTCTGATGAGCAGCGTGACTACATGCACAGTCTTACCTATGCTCGCTTCAGCCGCCTCTCAGACACACGTAGCCTTTCTGTAGGTTGTAGCTTTCTTCGTACTCGCGCTGCCGTACTCGGTGGTGTCCGTTTCAGGCCACATGTCCCGCAAGGGCGGTGGCAAGTTCACCCTGGACTTGGGTGTGAGCGCTGCGGACTCAACCCCGGACCGCGAACCTCCGGCAGCTAAGACGTTGCACCAGCAGCTGCAGGATGGAAGCCTCCCGGCACATCCGTCCAAAGCGGCTATGACTGTTCGTAATCTACAGACCCAGATCGCTAACATCAAGCGCAGCGTGGGTTTGGGGTCGAATAGCTGGTCCGATGAAGCTGAGGAGGCCCTTAAGACTTGGCTACGTCGCCCTAAACTGTCTTCGGCTTCTTCCTCCATTTCCGGGGACCGCGACAGTGGGTCAAGTCTCAAACGTAAGATGCTCGTGATGGCCCAGACGATCGACGACCTCGAAGGCGTAGTGGCTCGCGCCCAGTGGGATGCAGAAAAGCACGAAGAGACCGTGACTGAGCTCAAGAAGCTCAAGGCTATTCTCAAAGAGAACGGCCTTCAGCATCTGTATGAGGAAGCCTCATGAGCATCTGCCGCGTTGTTTTTTCATGTTATATGTACACATGCATCCGCATAGTTTTCCATGTCGCGTGTGGTGGCACAGAGATCCGCTGCATCAGAGGTAGCAAAGAAGAAGGAACCCATGCTTATCTTCTGCTTATCTTCCCACGCCACAACAGTCCCCTCTCAATCCCAGACCCTCCAATGTTGTAATCCGAAGCCCTGAGCGAGACAAGCCCAAAGAGAACTGTTGGCTGCAGGCACCGCATCCTTCCCGAGAAGTTAAGACTGCAGGACAGCTCCGTAGCTACTAGGGTTTGAGGTAGGGTGTGTGTCAGGGCTAGCGATTTAGGATTCGAGGCAAGGATATGAGATAGGGTGTGTCTGTGGTTTCGTTGAATGTATATGGGGCGTCTTCGAATTTGTTAATTTATTACCAGCGAGAAAGCCTCCACGTCATGTAAGTTTGTACACGGGACGTCAAGCTTTAGAGGTTCCGAGCTTCCGGTGCGCATCACTCCTTAAGCGAGGAGAAAATGTATGGCTTGTCATCAAAAGCATGGCATTCCGATTTTTGGTAATTTGGAGGTTCGTTTGTCGAGCTTTTGGTGCACAGAAGCACTCTAGGCTTCTAAATTCTGGACCCAGAAGAATGACTGGCTTGCTTAAGCCGTACACCCCTCACCCATACCACGGTAACAATGTTTGAGAGTTGCACAACTGCGGCTGAATCCGATGCAATTCCCCTGAGCATGAATACTCCACCTTCCATCCTACCTGCTAAGGCGACAAGCTTGAACCCCAACCCTGTTCTAACTAGCAACGCCTCTACATCTTCACGAGCTTCGGAACCCGACACCCGTCCCTCAATGAGGACGTTAGCAGTAGCAGGGAGCTTGCAAATACATGGCTCTTGAGCGCGGTTCGTTTAATCATCATGAAGCGCGAATACGACGAATCCTCATCAGTCATCATCATCATCATATTCATCAGACTTTTTTGCATAAAGAGTTCTATCAGGCTGGGAATGTAAAGAGATCTTATCGTTTTGGGAACAACCTAGACTCAACCCGAACCATCGGTCTTCGCCCGAGACGTGGTGCTTTTTCCGGCTTTGCGTTTCTGCAGAAGTGCAATGCATGCCTTGAACGTGACTTGCTTACTTTCTGCAGCCGCTTCCAGGTAGATCTTGATTTCGGTGGGGAGGCTTTCGGTTGAGTCTCCTCTAAGATGGGTGTCTGCGCAGGACTGCTAGCATTTGTGGTTGTCGCGAGCAGGGTGGTTTAGTACGGATTTGTGTGGATGCAGGGCACCCGAAATCCTGAATCGTCTTAACACCCTCCTATGGGCTCGGAGATGCCGTGCTGGCACATCACAGAAACACATACCAGTGGCGAAGGCCTGCACTGCTTCTGTCGAAGGTTCGCTTGTACTTGTAAGCTCGGGGAGAACCGTCGGAACTGGGGCCAGCTCTAGCTGCAATTTGTAGGGTTTAGGGTTTAGGGGTACATGCCTCTTTTAGCCATGAACGTCTGCAGGGTTTGCCCTCCAGTACAGGGTGGTGGCTCTCGGGTCTTGGAGTAGCTTACGTAATCGAAGCGATGGGCCAGACGGGTCTCTGCAGAACCGAGGCACCTTGGAAGCATCCGGAAGTATGGCAGGTTTAGTCGGGATTTGATCAGGACCATGTAGGAACTCGTTACAGAAGGGTTGACTGTCTGCTTAAAGGCTCATGGGACTTAGTAAGTAAGGTTATAACTAGGTTATAATTAGGATAACCCCACTTAGGGGACTCATAACCCCAATTATAACCTACTTACTAAGTCCCATGATCCTTTAAGTGGGGTTGATGGCTAGTGAAATGTATGTGTCGTGAAGATTGTGAGGAGCCCGAATCCTTCAAGCTGTGAAGGGCTCAGGATCCTTTTGTCGTGGGATCTTAGCATTAGTATTAGTATTAGTATTAATGTTAGTGTTAGTATTAGGGTTTAGAGTTTAGGGTTTCGGGGATGGGCGTTTTTTTAGGATATTCGGAATTAGCTGGCCGAGTTTCAAGCTATGGATTGCTGCTAGGTCAGTTGTAAGTCAGGGCTCGCGTGGACTTGCACATGTCATGAACCCCCAAACCCTGAATCCCACGCTCTACATGTGTGAGCCTTGACCTTCACATGCCGAGTCAGCTTTAGGGTTTAGGTAAGCGCGGAGTGCAGTATTGTCTCGCTGCAAATAACATCTATCGGAAATTATATTACGAGACAATCATTATGGAGGACGACATTCTAAGGGAAACTATAAGCATCATGCCCTGCTGCCTGTTGCTTAGGCCAGCCAGGTGGATGGTGGTGGCGAGCCTCGTCGCATCAATGGATCCTCCTGCCCAGTCATTGACGTCGTCATTTGTGTATTCACAGCATCGTCGTAAACATTTTCCTTTTGTTCTTTTGTACTTAGTAGCTGAGTGGATACACCTTACACTTTTTGGGAGAATATTGCCCACAATAAAACTGAAAATGTACACTTTTGGGGGCTTATGAACTCAGCAACTAAGTATAGACTTCGACGACCAAGTCCAGTAAGACAACCGCTGCCTGGTCAGTACACTGAATTAGGAGGATTTACGATGCTGACGACCGCACTCTAAATCCGAAACTATTTGCTTGCTGCGGCCAGCTATTGGGAAGAGCCTCAAACTGTCATGTTCGTCTCTTATTTGGGAGCCTGTGCTTCAAGCGATTTAGTGTCATTCATCCTGTACCAAGACCCCAAACCATGCAAACAATCCTGTAAACCATGTCAGCACCGTTTGCTGAGCTGTTGAAAAACCTCGGGCAACTTAAAAGAGCCACAACCCCCCCCCCCCCGAAAAGAAAACCCTGAAACCCTAAACTCTCTAAACTCTCTAAACTCTAAAACCTTCCGAAAACCCTGAGCCCTAAACCTTTAAACCCTATATAAACCCACACCCTAGGACCTAAACCCCTAAACTCCCTACCATCGAGGAGCTGCAGTTCTCTCTAAACCCTAAACCCTAAACCACAACCCCAAAACCCCAAACTCTCTAAACCCTAACAACCTACATCCCCTACCACTCTAAACCCTAAACCCTGAACTCTCTAAACCCTAAAACCCTAAACTCTCTAAACCCTAACGCCCTAAACCCCCCTGACATCGAGGAGCTGCTGTTCTCTCTAAACCCTTAACCCTGAACCACAAACCCAAAACCCTAAACCCTACATCCCCTACCACTCCAAACCCTAAACCCTGAACTCTCCAAACACTAAAACGCTAAACTCTCTAAACCCTAACGTCCTAAACACCCCTACAACATCGAGGAGCTGCTGTTGACCGGACCTCCCTGCATCATCGCCGGCCCGGGATTGGAGGCGGCCGGAACTCTCCGGATGTTTGTGATACGTCTGAGTCAGTGTTTGGGGTACAGGGTTTAGGGGTTCGGGCCCAGGGTTTGGGGGTTAGGGTTTAGGAGTTAGGGTGTAGGGTTAAGGGGGTTTTAGGGTTTTAGGGGTTTAGGGGTTCGGGTTTAGGGATTACAGGGTTTAGATAGGTAGGGTTTAGTTCAGGGTTTGGGCTCCTCAGCAGGGACCCAGGCTAGCTTACAGCCAAAACGGTGCCTTGCGCACAGGATTCATCTTTTACAGAAGCCTGAATAATTAGCAATACGCTTCCTGAGAGTTCCTTACTCGAAGTATGGTATACTCTACCTCAACACCCTATTCTGATAATCACGGCCCCTAATTCAGGCCGTCTATCGCCGGACCTCCGAGCCAGGGGTTTATGATTTCATGTCAGCACAGTGACGATTTGATCGTTTCTACAAGGTGTCTGGGAGCGCTGAACCATACCTTCCACCTCGAAAACCGAGCTTTTGTGGGGCGCACTATGGTGGTTTTCCATGGATTTCCTTTAAACTAGCTCGGTTTGAGGGCTTCAGGCAAGCCCTCTCCAGCTTTTGTAGTACCGCACCATGTGGAACCCTTCCCGCTTCAGCTCGCCTTGCTTCATGGGTCAGGACTAGGGTCGCAGTGCATACTCCTAACCCCACAAACCCCAAGCAAGCGAGAAAACCTCTAACCCGCAACCCCTAAACTTTCAAACTTTACTCTAGATCTCGTTCGAATTTTGCGCAAGCCCTGATGGGGCCCCTAAACCCTAGAGGACACCGCAGAAGCCCTCCGGAAGAAGATGGGCTGTGCGGGCAGCCACCCGGACTTTGGAATACAGGAGTTGCTGTTTGTTCTAAAAGCCAGGAATGGCTCGATGGAGTCGGGTTTAATCATGACTTAGACTGATATAATTTACTAATATTTACTAGCTATAAGTTTTCGTTTGTATGAATAAGTAGTATGTCTAGATGGTTTGGGGAACCGACAGTCGGACCACCTGCTAATCCTAAAACTTTGGGCGCCCCAAATCACAAACTGCTTCGGGGTTCTTCAAGGCTAAGGGGTGAATGTTATAGGGTTCAGGGTCGCATATCTGCATCTTGATACCCACCGAGCTCTTGCAATCCGAAATAACACAATGGCTCTAGAGTGTCTTGGCCGTATTTGCCGGTGCCGCTTCTTCCCCTGACCCTAAAGCCTGCTAGCTTCTAATGCTTTTGTCAGGCATTATGAGAGCACAGTTCTTGCTGAATGTCAATGCTGTAGTGGTTGCGCAATTACTAGTTGCTTCACATCTACTTGAAGGATCATGGGACTTATCAAGTTGGTTTTTAAGTAGAGTTATATGTACCCTAAATGGAGTTACCCCCAATTATAACCCTACTTATAACGCTACTTACTAAGTCCCCTGCCCCTCCAAGTAGGGTCGGTGTGGTCAGCGTCGAGGCGAGCTCACTGGCAAGCTCGGAAGGACTGGTATAGTTCGCAGGGTTTTGTCGTAGTGGACCCACACGTCATGGTGCTGCTTCATCGTCCCTGTGGCATCTTGCATAAAACACAGAACATGATGTAAGCCTAGGGGTTAGGGTTTAGGGTTTAGGCTTAAACAGTAACTTTAAACTCGGGACTGAACCATAGCCCCACAACGGCTCCATGAGCTGAATAATGTCATCTTTGTAGGTACTGGCCGTAGAACGGCACTTGGAAAATCTCATTCTAAGCCGAATCTAGCATTATCCTACATTCTACTCCGTCTACACCCCAAAGCCTAGACATATTAAACTTGTTGAAAGTAGTAAGTAGTACTGTGGAGTAAATATAGCTTCCAGACACAAGCAACCTTTGACTTCGGGGAAAGCACCATGAACCTCGAAGGAACCCCAACGACTGAACCCTGAGAAGGTTTAGGGTTTAGGGGCACTTACCCAGACCATAGCAGTAGTAGCTCCTAGTATAGAAGCACAACTGTCTACTATATAGTTACTTGGGACCTGGACCCTTTTGGCCTGAGCTCAAACCTAGCCTCTAAGCTTTTTACCTCAGGCCACAGAGATTTCAATCCTGTAAAGTCCAAGCTTCTTAGGCTAGGAGATTTGTTCAGAATCCATTATGAAACCTTCTTGAACCCCTGAACCCTCCATGCAAGGTCAGCAGTAGGAGAGAACACCCAAAGCTTCAAACTCCAAAGCCTAAACCCCAAACAAATCCTAAACCCCACAACCATAAAGCCCAAAACCCTGAAACCCAAAACTCCAATACCCTAAAACACCAAAGCCCTGAAACCCTAAGACCCAACACCCTAAAACCCCCGGCTCTTCCAAGCCACCAAGTCTCAAAGGGGAAAAGGAGGGACCCTGAATGGGGACCCCTATCCTATAATGGGCTATACAATGGGCATTTTATCGCTATATTGAGGGTATATACCTAGGGGTCCTTATTAAGGGTCCCTCCTTTTACCCTTGGAAAGTCAGGTCCGAGCGTCGACTGGAACAGCTTCCCCTCGGGTGATCCGAATGTGCGGTTCCGGTGGCAGGATGTTCAAGGACACCGCGAGGGTGTAAGTGTAGGGTTTAGGGTTTAGGGTCGCAAGGGTGCAAGTGTAGGGTTTAGGGTTTACGGTCGCAAGGGTGTAAGTGTAGGGGCCTGAACAGCTAGAATAGGGTTTTTGGCGGATCGTTGTTAGAATCATAGTATGATATATCCCCAAACCCTGTTCTAATTATTAAGGCCCCTACATTATTGTTGACCTTAGTCTAACATAGCCACTACATTGGCCAAGAGCCCTAGCTAGGGTTGAAGAGATAGGTGTTGGATTTCCGAGGACTGCTCGTAGTCTTCATTGTAGTTGCTTCTCTGGGTTACCATATAGGATACAAACTATGACGTTAGTTTAGGCAAGAAAGACCTACGGTGGAACTCAGCGGCTTAGTCCCGACTCATTCTTGGAACCACCTGATATGACATAACATCGCGAGGCCACTGCTTGGGGTTGACGCTTGTTTTCGGACACCTTCGGAGAATGCTTCATGGTGGTTGGAACATATGGGATCCCAGTACAGACTGTTGTCCCTTTTTGCAATAAGGAGCCAGTGATTCAGGCTTTGGATCAGGGCGCGCCGTGTAGAAGCGTCACGTTTGTTGGGAAGTGGCGCTTTCGTGTTTCAGTTCCATACGCCCTATAAACCCTAAAGCCTAAACCCTAAACCCAGAATGCTAAACCCTAAGCCCTAAATCCTAAACCCTAAACCCCTAAACCCCTAAACGCTAAACCCTAAACCCTAAACCCCTAAACCCCTAACCCCTAAACCCCTGAACCCAGAACGCTAACCCCCGAACCCCCAAGCTGCCCAACTCTACACCCGGCACAATCAGCTTAACATGGGAGTTTCCGAAAACTGGGGGTGCCCTATTTCGAGGGTCCTTATGATAAGGATCCTAGCATTTAGGGTACTATATTAGGGTTCCGTATTTTCGGAAACTCCCACATCCGAAACGTTGGAACTGTCACATCCCTGGGCCCTCCGATGGGCCCTGGGAGGACAGCCCTGCGCAAAGGCTACGACCATTGGCAATATTTCAGACTCACAGACCTTCCAACATACCTCAATTAAGGAATGCACCTTAGAGATCTTAGATTCTAGTTGGATCCCTGATATGATTTGATATATATATATATATATGTGCATATATATATATATATATACATATTCAGAATGAAGAATTACTGGAAGGCCTGGGTTAATCCTTCGCAGCCTGAATGTGCCAGAACCGTGAAGGCCCTACACAATCCGATACGGCACAAAAGTCATCTATCCGTTCCTGTGATCTGAGCCTGCGCTGCGCCTTTGTGCAGGGGTCCTAAATGGGTTGGGTGGGTGGGGTGGGGTGGGGTGGGGTGGGGTGGGTGGGTGGGTCCTAAACCTTCAACCCTAAATTCTAAAAACTCTGCCTCATGCTCCAAAATGCCCAGCATGTGCTTCAAAGACGAAGTGCTGGGGTTGCAACGTGCACATTTGTGCCGCTAGGATCTCCCGATAGGGACTGAAGTTCGTCTGGTTTAGGTTTGCGCTGCATTGTGAATCCCCTTGTAGCCCTGTAGACTCTGTAGAAACATGCATATGTAGACATGGCCCAAAGCCGTGCGTGAGCGATCAAGCTCGAAACACCCACAATTGATTATTCTACAGATGCTGTGACTATTTGGAGGACAGCACGTGATTTTCCTCTTTGACACGGTGGACAGGCTGCCGTGGTTGTTCCGATTTAGGCTTCAGGATATAGGGCTGGGCTTAGTGTTCAGGGATGTAGGGAAATGGTCCAAGTTCCCAAACTTAAGCTTTATTCCAGACCCCAATCTCCAATTTTCCCACCTGAAAGTCCTGAGCCCCGAACCCCACGGCTCCAAGCCCCAACCTAGACCCCAAACCCGAAGCCTGAGAAGATCCGTGGCCAGCTGCAATCTGGCCCTAAAGAAAGGGAGCTTAGAGGATAGGGTTGAGGCGTTAGGAAATGAGGTTTAAAGGATAAGAGTTGAGGCTGTGGGGATTTAGGGTTTTCAGTGGTTCAGAGGATAGAGGTTGATTGAGGCCTTCGGGATTTAGGAATGTCGGAGTTTACAGGTTCAGAGGCACCTCTCAGCAGCCGACATCCTCACCCCTAGTGCCCGACATCCACAATCCGCAACCCTGCACCCTGAGGCCTGTGCGCCAGCTCTAGGGGTCCATGTACACAAAGAATATGTACTTTGGCCTGAAAGTAATTCTTGTATAGGTACTTTAGGGCCACCGTATATGCTATGTGGGCACATGGACCCTTAGGGTAGAATCCCTCTGACCTGTGTAACCCGATCTCCTATAGTCTCCATTGTAGTTCCTTTTCTGGTTAAACCGATTTTACATGTGGCCTCCACACGGTACATCGAAGAAGGAAGTACAACGAAGATTAGAGGCACTGTCATTCTGAGAAAAACCCGGCCCAGGTTGTGTAAGAGTTTCGGTATCAAAGTGACGATATCATCGGGTAGAGCACTTTACCAGGGTCGTCAGTTGTAACAAGGTTTGAGAACCGAGAGATTTCATTTGTCGCCAGGTTATGCGCACACCTACACAGCATGGCCTAGACATGTAAATCCTGAAGACTACCCTCGCGACCATGGACCTCAGCCACAAACAACCGCTATGCCGCATTGAAACATGCCCTAGATGAGCCGATAAATCCTGTTCATGGCTTTACAAGAACATATAATCCCCAAAAGCCCTAGTCATTCCGTGAACTTAAAACACGATCGCACACCCTCAGTGTACCCGAAACGCCACACCCCGAAGTCGAAAACTCCACAGCCCTTGCCCCCCCCACGTCCCAACCTGAACCCTGAAGCCCGAAGCCCTAACCCTATCTGGACCCCAAATAACCTAAAAGGTTCCTTAATATGATGTTAAATGGGAGTTTCCGAAATTCGGGATACGTTATTTGGGGTCCTTACAGTGAGGATCCTTCTATTTAGGGTACTATATTAGGGTCCCCCATTTTCGGAAACTCCAATATGAGTCCTCAGATCGGTAGGTTACCCCAAGAGTCCAAGTACCCAATAAACATGTAACATATACTTTCCGAAATCCTAACCTACATAACTACTATCCTTAACACCGAGTACCTCATTATTGGGTCCTTTGGACCCTTTTGGGGGTTATTTGGGGTTAAGGTAAACCCTCGAACCAAGCAGAGCGGGGGCAGGGAACGACTTTTCGATCAGCTGTCTCTGTTGCAGCAACTCCAGGCTCCGCTTGAAGCTTACCGATGTTTAGGGTTTAGCGGTTTAGGCTTTACCTTAACCCCATGTAACCTACCTTTTTAAGGACTTATATAAAGAAATCATATTAGGGAACCCTAAAAAGGTAGGTTTAGTGGCGTTTTATAGGGATATCCCTACCTTATTGGGCTTCATTATAAGGGGGTCTATATGGTTTAGGCTTTAGGCTTTACGCTCAGGGTGTTGGGGCTCTGGTTGTTCAACCGCTAGGGTTTTTTGTCTGAGTCTTTTGGGGCTTGTGATGTCTGATCTGTTTTAAGGGTTTGTTTTCTTGCTTGAGGTTCAGTGTTCAGGGTTTTTCTCGTTTTGGAGCTCATGCTTGGAGGATCGGTTTAAAAATTGCTTTTCGGTTTCTCACGGCTTTCAGGCGTCACGGCTTAAGGATCCAGGATTAAGAGTTTCGGCGTCGCCTAGGGGTGCAGATTTCGGGGCGTGGGTTTCCAACTGTTGGAGGTCACCGATAAGGTTTATGTCTTGGAGGTTGCTGGGTTGATTTCTGATGTTGTAGGGTTGAGCCTGTTAGATGTCGAGCCAAGAATAGTCCCACTAAAACCCTAACCTAAAGTCCTACCGACGGCCCATCTGACGGCGAGGGCTTTGCGCTCCCCGACAGCGACGATGCCCCGAACAAGTGGAAGACATACGCGCAGGAATCCTTCCTTCGTTTTTCGCCCTTGCAGGTAATCCCCCTACTGGTAGGTTTTTTGGGGTTCGTGTCATCTTCTGAAACTCCAGCTTTTTGAAGCTACAATAAGCCTCGATTCGGCAGAACCAGTTCTGAAACCTTGTATATCGACCGTGAAACCTACCCTGCAAAGAAGGTAGGTTAGGATAGGTTTTGCCCGAAGATACAGTGCAGGGTTCATCTTGTGCGTGATGTAGGTGTCTAGTTGAACTTTCAGATGAGAAGATTGAACCCAGGCCATGCAGATTCACATACGAGCATCAATGAGTTTGGCTTTGAGGGTTTAGGAACCAGATCAAAGAGACGTAATATAGGGGCTTTAATAATTAGAAGAGGGTTTTGGATTAAAATGCACTATAGTTGTAATAAGGACCCCCCCAAATAGTAGTGGTAATTGTTAAGGCCCGCATATTACTCCAATACCTGTCAGTCCTCAACTCGGATAACTTGCAAATGCAAAAGGACCTAAACCCCATTCCTAAGCCCAGTATGCATTCTGACCGTACAGGCCAAAAGCAACACGCCTTTTGCTGCTGAGTCTACAGAGTATTCCTTGAAAAAACAGGTTTCATTAACTAGTGGCTTGGGGAAGGAAATTTGGGGCTTTCTGGGTTCGATTTTCGGATTGGTATCCCTAATTTTCGGAAACCTTAAACCCTAAACCCTCTATAGAACCCGTATAATTAGATCCCTTGAAGTAATCTTCGGAAACCTTAAACCCTAAACCATCTATAGAACCCTTATAGATCCCTTTAAGGAACCCTTGCCGGAACAAGTTTCTGCAGGGCTGAAGGGGTGTCAGATGTATTTATCAAGGCATGAGGCTTTTTAATGCTTTTGCGGTTTAGGGTTTAGGGTTTAGGGGTTAGGGGTTAGGGGTTTAGGGTTTAGGGTTTAGGGGTTAGGCTTTAGGGGTTAAGGGTTTAGGGTTTAGGGTTTGAATTTCTGAGCAAGTCCGTTTATACACCGTATACACCTAAGAAAAGACATGGTCACTGCCGCAAGAATCAGCACAACTTTCGTTTCGGTTAACTTGACTACTCTATAGCTGTTTGAGTGTCGGCAGCTGGCGACCTGACCTGGGTGGTTGTCAAAATTAGGGTCCCTTTCTGGGTCCTTAAAATCGTACGGCACCTATTATTTAGGGTACCGAAAAAGGGACCATAATTTCGATAAATACCCACCTAGTACTTCAGGCTGAGGATTTCTCGTGTCAGGGCTTGGGGTTTAGGGGCTTTTCGGGTGGAACCACGACAGGAGGGACGCTATGCTTGGGGACGTGCACATCGTGTGACGGCTGCGTGTCTTCAGTCTTCAGTTTGCGTACCAGTCTGCACTCAATTTTCCCTAAGGGTCCATGTACCCTAATCGTATATACTTTGGGCCCCCCATATGGGAACTACAGTAAGGCCAAAGTATCTACTACTTGGGTACATGGACCCTTAGGGTTTCTTACCCGCAGACTGAAGCCCTTAAAGGGCAGCTTCGCGGCTCTAAGCACCTGAAGCGTTAAGTAGCCTAGCTCTTAAGCCAGTGGCCCGGAAGATCACGTAAACAAAGTAAAGGTCGTACCACGGGGCCCATGTACCAAGGCAAAATTATGTGTTCATGTCTGTTTCCAATCCCTCGAACCTGAACCCTAGTATGTAGACTTGACACCTAGAAGCTATTCGTTCTCAAGACCTTAAAGTCAGTGGACCACAGCCCCAGCTACCGCCTTGAATCCCGCACACGCTAAAGCCTTCGAGCCTGGAGCCCTGAAACCTTAAATCCCGACACCCCCAAACCCTAAAGGCATGAGGGAACTGACTATCAGTTTGCAGGTTTGCTGCGCTTTGGTGTTTCAATGGTTTCTTTCAACCCCGATAACCGTAGGCCCCAATCCCTAGACCCTAAAGGCCTTGGGCAGAGGGGCTTCATCTCCATGTAATAAGATTCCCGAAGGGTCCATGTGCCCAAAAATGTATGCTTTGGTCTTCAAGTGCCTGTATAGGAACTATTTTAAGGCCAAGCTGTCTGCTGCTTGGGTACATGGACCCCTATAGGGATTGAGAGTTCCATGCTTGCAGGTTATAGTGGCTTTAGGGTTGACGGTTCCGACAGGGCCTTTCCCTAGTAGTAGAGTAGGTAACCTTTAACCTTTTTTGGTAGTATAGTCCCTATATGACCCAAATGGTTAACCTTTAGTTCCCCATGATGCCCGACAAGTAGGTTTTAGAGACTCGGTTACAAACAATGCCACCATCTCTCGCTCACTTAACAAAAGCAGATGCAGCGCCACGTTCTAGTTCCTCTCCTAAACCCCTTGAAAGCTTTTCAAAGACACACCCCAACCCAGAGACTCCAATATGCCTTAATTAAGGAATATTCCTTAAATCATATGAGGATCCTACTATAATTTAAGGTATATTCCTTAATTAAGGGATATTGGAGTCTCTGGGAAGGTCGTGATTCCCTGGTACCGTCCTTGCCAAATGGAGCGGACCAGTCGTTGGGAGGCGCGGTACGGCCTTGGGATCGTGGTCGACTCATGTAGTTTGTTGTGTTTCCCAAAGGGTCCTATGTACTGTTACGGGGGATATTTCCCTAAGTCATAATAGTAATGCCTAATATGGAAACCTTACATTCTTCTATATCGGTACATAGGACCCTTTGGGTTTGGTGTTTCCGTTACCTGGAGGAACCGCTATATCTGTCAAAAAGGAATCTGACCCTAAAGGTACGGAAGGTTCAATCTGTTTAGGTACCTTGTCTGGTTACTCTCGGTAGACTGGGACCTAGAGTAGGCCCTTATTCCCTTTTTGTAGGGTTCAGGTTCTCTTATAACACCCTTTAACCCAAAAAGGGCACCCTTTTTATTCCTAGGTTACTCTTGGGTCTAGTAGAGCTTGTGGTGAATAGAGTCAGGCTTCTTTCGGGTCGGAGGTCTCGGTCGAAGCTTTTCATCGTCACGTTGTCATACTATGGCGGCCTAGTAATAGTTACCTATACTATTTGGGGGGTTCCTTATTGATTCTACTTATGGTATAATATACCCCAAATTTCTAACTGTTAACGCCCCTAATTATAGCAATTACTGACAAGTCGCCTCCCTCAACCCCCAAATGCAAAGCTGCGACCTATGCTCGAAAGCCCTGAACCCTCGACCCTAAACCCAAAGCCCTGAACCCTAGAAACCCCCCGAAAAAAAACAGCGAAGAACAAGAAGGCGAAAACCCTGAACCCAAAGCCCTGAACCCTATGAAACCTGCCAAAAGAAGCTAAGAACAAGGAAGACTAAAACCCCTTTCGGATTGACCTCTTCGGAGGAGCTTGAACCTGTAGTTCCCAACTCCCTGATGTCCTGATATCTCCACTTGCTCGCCTGTGACCCAAATGAGGCGTGGGCCCTATGTAAAGCTGAGCGTTCGTTATCACTTAGGACGTCAGAGTTTTTGGTTTGGCCTTGCTGATTGTTTCCCACCTGTGTCACTACGGCTGTTTGTTGTTTGTGTGACTTGCAGCTCGAGATCATGTTTGAGGACTTCCTCGTCAGAGCTGAGCATTCTGTACGCCAATGCGGACTTCTGAAGACTTGCAGTAAATTTCGTATCTGATGGCATCTCCCAGGCAGTTGCACTTTACTTGGATCCGGGTACTTCAAGGAACCCTAAACCCTAAAAGCCCTGGATCTTCAGCCCCAATCGGGTGGGCCCTGGACCAACTCAGCAACTTGGCAGCAGACATGGGTACCCATAGGCTCCATACCAGTTCCTTTTGGGGGTTCATATTTAGAATCCTAGAAGGTACGTAATCCCAAGAAGGAACTACTACGGAGCCTATGGATAGGGATAAATGTAGCGGACTTAATCATTACCTATACTATGTTGGGACTATAGTTATACTTTAGTATACCCCCAAACCCTTTTCTAATTATTAAGGCTTCTATATACCATTCCGTCTTACTGTGCCTTATTAGGGATCTGAATTATGGGGGTGGGCGGGTTAGGGCATACCTATTCTCCAAAAGGAACGACAATGGAGACTACAGGTAGGCTTAGGGACAGAAGCCTTCAGGCCTAAAACCAGAAACCCTCCTTGTCGGGTTGCACATGAGAGATTTTGTGGGACGGCTCAGGCTGTTTTGTTGATCTGTTTCGGAGTTGTTGTTGAAGGGCCCCTCAAACAGAGGGTTCTACAAGGGTTCTGAAAGAGCTTTTGGGTTCAGGCCTTGGGGGTTCTTGGATCTTCTCGCTACCGCATTTCCTCGACCCCTGGCCCTGCCGGGTTTCTTGTTAATGTGTAATTATCAGGTATGGAAGCTTCCGAAGGGGTACCTAATTTTGGGGTCTTTTTCATAAGGACCCCACTATTTAGGGTGCTATACTAGGGACCCCTATTTTCGGATACTCTTGTATGGAATGGCCATAAGCACATGCTGACTTGCAACAGGCTAGGATGTTGTGCGGCAAAATTTCTCAACTTGCGGATAACACCGAAGAAAAAAACCATACTTGTAACAGAAGTGCAAATGCAATAAGAACTTCGTAGCATCAGCGGGGCTTCTGGGATTGGTACACAGGGGTTCTGGACATACGAGAAGGAGCTTAAGGGCATGGGTCAGGATCTATCGAGGTTGATGAGGTCGGAGACTAGCTCAGGCCAGTACTCAGAGGATCATGCGACATAGGGCACTAAGATTATAAGTACCCGAATTGGGGTTATAAGCAGTTATGACTACAGTTACCTGACTTCCAACCTTACTTACCAAGTGCCATGATCCTCTGCTTAGTAACTGAGTGGATGCACTTTACACTTTTTGGGATAATAATACCCATTATAAAGCTGAAAGTGTACTCTTTTGGGGGCTTATGAACTCAGCAACTAAGTCTGAGTAGAGGGATCCCTAATATAATTTAATTTAAGGAATACTCCTTAATTTAGGGATATGCCTTCACTTATAGTAGGATCCCGAATATGAGTTCAGGAATACTCCCTAATTAAGGGATATGCCTTCAATTATAGTAGGAGAACATCCAGAGGCTGCTTTAAGTAGTAGGCATTTAGGGACTCGGCCCTCACGCTAAGATCTGACGCCTAACCCCAAGGGTCCTTTAAAGGACCCCAGAAATAGGGTTCCTTTAATAAAAGGGGCTAGGGTTTCTATCATATGGGCCTTAATAATTATGTACTCGGTTTTAGGAGAGTAGTTATGTAGGCTAGGATTTTGGATAATATATGATTATTGGGTGCTTGGACCCTTGGGGCTAAGTTTTGCAAGCTAGTGACGGCAGGCTTGGCAGAATCCTGTAAGCTTTTCGTCATGGAATTTTGCGTAAGCCTAAACCAACATTTCAAACCACCAACTGTACTATCCCAAAAGCCTAATGTCAATGTGTCACATACCGTACACCTAAGATCTGATTGTTGGCTATGTGCCCCGAAGGTCCCAGAAGGGCGCTGGCTTGATGTCCCCACTGCGCGGACTTTGGCTACACTGATGGCAGCCGAGGCAGGTAGACGCAAACAGGTTCCGATATGGTGGTCGAGGTTGAGGGTGTGTCAAAGGTGCGTTATAAAAAGGGTGCTCTGACAAGGTCAGCAAGGTCAGAATGTGTGCTGAGAAGCAAAAAAAGTAGAACCCTCGGACGGGGATCGGGCGGGGTTTGGGTAGAACGTAAACGGGCGGTCGGACGAGCCCTGTCCGACCCGCATCCGTTGCGTTTCTTGTTAGTCGATGGTTGTTTTTTATGATTTTTCCTTAGGTTTCTTTGTTTTTTGTCAGAAATGTGGTTTTCTTGTCATGAATTCGAGTGTTTTTTCGTCAAAAGTGTTGGGTTTCCTTTGGTCAAGTAAGAAATGCTTTTTTTGTTGTCATGAACTCGGTGTTGTTCATCATGATTCGTTGTTGTTTCTTATCTGCTGTCGCCGCTTCTGCTGGCGGTGGACTGCTTGTGGTGATGCTGTGGCAATCAGGCTTTTTTCTCAACAATGGTCTAGCTAGTCCTTTGGGACATTTTCTGTTTTCCCTTTGTGGGCTTAGGAGGATGCTACTTACGAAGATTTTTCAGAGGCTTTAGAGGGCCAACCTAGAAAAGCCTCAACCTCCTAAAGCCCCCAACTACTCTCTACTATACCCCAAATACCCACGACTAAGGGCCATAAGGGCTCCATCAAAGGGCCCTTGGAGGAGAATCAGACCCTAAACCCTAAACCCTATAAACCCTATAAACCCTAAACCCTCAACAATGGCGCAAGAAAATGCGAGGCTCCTGCGCCACCTGGGGCCGGTCCAGCGATTGCGCCTCCCGAGCTGCATGCTGGTTCGGGTAAGGCCCCAAAGCAGTTCCTTTTTGGGGTTCGTATATAGAATCCGTTAAGGTAATCCCAAAAAAGGAACTACTTTGGGGCCCTATGGTAGGGTATAGTTACGTCTACTATTTTCTTTGTCATAGTTTGGTAACATTTTACATTTTTAGGGGTACTTAAACCCAATATAAGGAATAAACATGTACATGTTTTCGTCCAATCCCAACAGTGAACTAGTTTTGGGGGTTCCTTATTAAAAATAGTGTACATAGTGGAGTAGACCCCAAGACGCGATTCTAACTAAAGGGCCCCCAACAAGCGCATAAGCAAAAATGAGGTAAGTGATTTCCCATATAGACCCCCTTATAATGAAGCCCAGTTAAGGTATCAAAAACCATAAAAAAGAAGCCCCAAACCCTTATCAACCCTTAAGGGTCAAGGTACCCAAAAACCATAAGTAAGAACCCTTAATCCACCAAAAACCCTAAACCCTTAAAGGTTAAGGTACCAAAAACCATGAATAAGAACCCCCCAACCCTAAACCCTTAAGGGTTTAAGGTATATGGTAGAAGCCAGAAAGTTGGAACATCATTCTCCTCATGCCCTTAAGGTAAAGTATAAGAGATCCTTGCACTAATCCTCCTAAAGCCATGTTCCAACTTTCCGGCTTCTACTGTAAGCCCGAAGCCGAGGCTGGACTCTCGTCCAATCGTTCCCCTCTGGCGGCCGCCGCTGTCGCTGTTCTTCGTCGAACTGCACGAGGTCCTGTGGGGTTTAGGGCTTTGGGTTTCGGGTTTAGGGGTCCTTATTTATGGTTTTTGATACCTTAACCCTGAGGGTTTAGGGTTTATGGTTTAGACTTAACCCTGAGGGTTTAGGGTTTAAGGCTCCTTATTTATGGTTTTTGGTTTTTGGTACCTAACAAGTTCCGCAAGTCCTATACTAAGGAGTACTTGGAGGGGAGTGGGTGTTTAAGGGATTGATGGTGTGTAGAGAGCTTGAGTATCGGGCTAGGGAGTTGGCGTGCAGCTTTAGGGGTTTGGGGTTCGGGGGCCTGGAGTTTTTAACCTGCGGGGTTTCAGACTCTTTAGTGTTGGTTCACTCACTCCAGGAGAGAGTTGATAACCCAGGACTTAGCGATTATGCATATGTTTTGCTGAATGTATATGGTTGTACGCCAACTTAGTTATATCTTGTCTTATTTTCCCTACCACTATGAAACTCAAGGTGCGGTGTCGGTTTCAGGGTTGGTCTGCCCCCACACTTGTGGAGCCTCTGCAGGTTTAGTTTTCCCTAGACCCTGAACTCCAAACCCAAACCCCTAAACCCTAAACCCCTAAACCCCTAAACCCCTAAACCCTAAACCCTAAAGCTCTAAACCCGGAAACCCGGGACTCGAAACCCTACACAAAGTTGAAACTTTCATCTGTTGACATGAGGGTACGTGCCTGGTGATGCTAGGTTCGGCCACACGTGCCTACCGGCTACCGAACAAACCCTAAATATCCTCAACCTCAAAACTCTCACACCCTTAATCCCCTGAGCCAACGCATGAACCGGAAACATGTCGTGAGCTCAGGAGGAGCCTGTCCGTTCAGCCGTCCCGTCGAAGGTGAGCATACGCACAGAGCGCTTTGTGCCGTTCCTTGTAGCACCGGCGGAGCAGAGGGAGGGCTAATCTCTGAGGCTTTAAAAGCGTTCGAAGAAAAGGCGGGGATTCTTGAAGTTAAGGTGTGTTTCCGACGGTTCCATATACAGGATCATATGCTCTCGGGTTCTACGGAGTACTGCATTCCTTAAGTTCTCAGCATCGGGGCACGCCCTATGCTAGAATCTGGCCAAACATGGTCCCTCCAACATGGAGAATGAGAATCCTTCGAGCTGCGGCGTAGCCGAAACATTAAGTCTTGGGTGGAATCACCACGGAATGGAAGAATTACGCCCAAAATCCCTAAGGGCTCATGATGGCAACAAGGCCCGAACAAGCCTTTCTCTTGTTGTGAGTTCCTCTAACAAGGTGAAATAAAGCATCAACGTGGGGGAGAACCCTGGTGTCTCAGCACGGGGGTAATCGCAATTGGTTGAAATCAAATAAGCTGAAGTCTTGAACTTGGACAACTTTGAGCATGGGAAACCCTAAACCCTCAGCATAGCAAATCATGTCTATGTTGATCTGCAGTGTCACGTTGGCAAGCATGATGCCGTGGCGGCGGGAGGCAGCTTTCCACTTTGATTGACCCAAAACTTGCCGATTTAATTTCCCCTGGCAAGCTCTAAGGTTTTTCTTGGATGTCTTCAAGGACCGCAAGCAGCTCGGTCGATTCGCAGGTGTTTCAGCAGGACGACTCTGATCAGGTTTGCGCGGGAATGGTTTCAAGTTTGGGGCTTTAGACTTAAGTTGCAAGGTTTAAGCTGCTTGGTGCAACCCAAACTCACGTGCCCTAAATCTGATCCCCGAAGGCAGGCTCAAGACTCAAATAATGCATGACATGGTTTGTAAGCGAAAAGGAGCTGACCAATCTTGTTGCCGGAATCGCGTATGGAGCACGTCTATTGTAGGCTTATGGCGAATGTGCATGGAGCTCCTTGAGAATGTTATAACTGAAACCTTGCCTCGGGTGGTACGGGAAGTCGAGATGTGGAGTTTTAAGGGTTCTGATCTGTACGGATCCGACTTAAAACCAAGGATCCCTACCTTATAGCTAAGGCTATGTAGGGATCTACAAGGGTTGTGTGTTATTGGTATTGGAGTTTGGGATGTGCAGGCTTTACGTTTTCCTAGCACTCCCCGGGCTCGAGAACGCGAACACTTCAACCCGAACCTCAAAACCCCGTTGCGGCTGGGTTTAGGGTTTATGGTTTAGGGGTCCTTATTTATGGTTTTTGATACCTTAGCCCTGAGGGTTTAGGGATTCCGAGGCCTGTCGGAATCCTCAGTAGGGGTTTGGGGTTTAAGGTTTAGGGTTTAGGGTTTAGGGCCTGCTTAGGGTTGAGGCTTTGGGTGTTCGGGCTTAGGACTTACAGGATCTAAGGTTTCATGAATCAGCATTTCGGATATGCGGGGCCCCGTAGTTTATGGTTTACCTGGACCCCAAAAGTATGTAGAATAATAGCCTTTTATAGGTTTTGGGCCATTATTTTGTCTACTTTGGGGGGTCTAGGTAGGGTTTTAGGGTTAAGGGAAGAATAGGATTCCCTTTTAGGGTTGAGGGCACATTGGTGACTCGTCTCAAAGGATTTTTGGCGATGTTCTCGTTGTGTTTTCTCTGGGGTTTCACTGCAGGTAGGGAAGTAGTTAGAATAGGGTTCCTTAAAACCGGGCGTTATGGGCTACTACAAGGGATCTATAAGGGTACTGTAATATATGGGTCTTAATAAATAGAGTAGTGTTTTGGCGTATATTACACTGTACCTATAATAAGGAACCACCAAAATAGTATACGTCACGATTCAGGCCCCAAAAGTAAGTAAGCCTTGAACTGCCTGAGGGCACTTAACCCGAAAGGCCCCCTACAAGGTACCAAGAAGTCTCGGCCTCATGACTCCGTCGCCTTGTAGTTCGGGTTCCGGTGTAAGGTTTAAAAGATTGGGGGGGCATCCATTGCTCTATTCTGCGATCCCAAATTCTGGATCCACCGAGCCTGGCTATGTGTCTAGGTGAAGCAGCACGCCACAAACCACAAGCGGAGCCCAAAGTCGAGCCCCATCACCAAAATCCCACATCCAAAAGGCGACTACGAAACTATGTAAGCCCTAAACCCTAAACCCTAAACCCTAAACCCCTAAACCCCTAAACCCTAAACCCTAAACCCCCAAAGCCTAGGAATTCCTATGCTCCGTGCCTAGGAACTATCCAGGCGCCGAGCAACTCTTCGTTCTTTTCCCAGACCACGGCGCTTTCAGCCGCTACAAGAGCAGCGTCGAGGTGGGGTCAGGGTTCAGGGGTTCAGGGGCTTGGAAGTTTGTGGGCTTAGGGGTTTTGGGTTTCAGAGTTTAGGGTTCGACTGTCAGGATAGTATCGGCCCTCGGGACCCACCATCCAAAACTCCAAAGCTCTGAAGTTGAAGGACATGTCGGCACCCTAGCCAGAAACCCTAAGCCTTGTACCCGAATATAGGGGCCTAAATAATTACCTATACTATTTTGGACGTTCCTCATTAACTATAACTATAGTATAGTGGGCCCCAAAATCCTATTCTATTTATTAAGGCCCCTAGCATATACTAAATCTTTGTGAAGGACCGCCTCGGCTTAGCGGCTGACCACATCTTGTATATCAACAAGACACGCGCACCTGTGTCTGCAAGCACTTGTTACTGAGGGGCTGGATGGGTAACTTTCACCATGTTTAACTTTTGCTCTTGTTGGTTATATATAACCCCAGTATAGTTAAAAAGGTTAGCCTTGCTTGGGCTGGGCCCAAAGGTCATGGTCTTTGTGCATGATCTCGGATCGCGCTGAGTTACTAAATACCACTGCGCCAGTGTCACACAGGAATCATGCGGCTATATCATGTAACAGTTGGTTCACAGTTACTGTACTACTAGGCCATCATTCCAACTTGTGTCGTCAGATCGCGACTTTGCGGGATAACTTGTTATAGCAGCACCAGCTTCAATTCAATCTTGCTACTGGCTTGTCACGGTTCCCGTTGGTGTCAGCATTGCAGAACACTTTAATTATAGTAGTCTGTTTGATCATGGCCCCGTTCCCCATTATGACAAATGCTACAGTTGATACCCCTTACAAGAACGAAGGACCCCAAAAGGGACCCATATTTAGGGAAGTACCCATGCAGGTTGAGAGCCTTTGTTCCTCAACCCAAGTCCAGAGAGTCCCGCGTTTACCCCTGGATACAGCTTCGTGCGATTATGGGGAAAATCTTAGAATGAAGGGTCATAACATTCGGAATTGCAGATTTTTGGTGCCTCCCGACCCCACACCTTTCGAAAGCTCTAATTAAGATTTACGGAGCTACCCTCAATCCAAGAAGTCTTTGAAGGCTTCGGGGGCTAGTGAAGATAACTACCCACATGCAAGATGACGCCTGGAACCTTCCGACCGCAGAAGACCGCCAATCATAGAGGAACATGTCTACCCATAGGCCCCAAAGTAGTTCCTTTTTTGGTACTACCTTATAAGGTTCTATATATGAGCCCCAAAAAGGGAACTAGGTTGGGGCCTTTGGATAAGCCCCATAAGCCCTAAGAGTCGTGGGCTCTTCGTTTGGAGCGGTTTTCAAGGGTCCTTAGAACTGCAGCAAAAAACAAGAAACCTTCCCTCTACGCCCGCAAGAAAACCTGGAGGCTAGGTCTTGGTCTTACCTTAAGCCGGAATAACCTACCTTTTTAGGGTTCCTTATTATAATTTCCTTATATAAGTCCTTAAAAAGGTAGGTTATTCCGGCTTAAGGTAGGGTTTTCCTCGCTCGGAAGTTTAGGGTTTATGGCCAAGTTTAGGGGTGTTAAGTTTGTGGAACTTGTTTCCACAATGATCCTCAAACCTTCAACCATCAAACCCTGAACTGCCAACCCTAAGCCCTCGAGCCTCGCTCAACCTGCCTGGTTAAACCCCTGCCAGTCCTAGGTCGGCGACCAGATCAAGCAGGAGCAGAAGCTAAACTACGAGCTTCCGGCAGGCTCCGCGTGCTTTGTTCCTGGCATTACTAAGACTCGATTTAAGGTACATAGGGTTGGAGGGCAATTGCCGGTCGGGTTGTCCCCCAATTGGAAGTAGCCCTGAACCCTCAACTATGCTAAGCTGCTAGGCCGTAATCTCGGGTCCCCACACCCGAAATAACTCTCATCCCACTTAAACCAAGCCCCCAAATGGTCCCAAATCCGCATGCCCACACCCCTGCTTATACTAGGTAGTTTAGAAGCACCTAGGCACCCAGCGCCTGCAACCTGTCAACACTACAGAGTAGTACAGTTCCTTAGGTTTGATTGCACTAGTTGTCCAGGTGTCCACATGACTTGAACACCCACTCTGTTGGATCCACTCGGGACTAGTTTGAGCTCCGATGGTTTCACCTGGTTTGGGGTTCAGCAGTTATATACAATCTTAGCAGCTGAGTAGGTACCCTTTTGGGGTTGATGTAATCCTACGATAATTGAACAGGTCAACCTTTTTTGGGCTAGGGTACTCAGCCCCTAAGAAATTGGGTTCAAAGCTAGCTCTGAGCCTTTCCGGAGTAAACGCAAGTTTGGGGGGCGGGGGGGGGGGGGGGGGGGGGGGGGGCATGATTTAAACATGAAGCCGCAGCGCTCGGGTTTAGGGTTTAGGGTTTCGTTTCGGCAGGTGCAACTGGGGAGAAGACGTTCTTCGACAAGGGCAGCCATGCTCCTCGGATGTCAGCTTTTCCTTAAGACCCCAAGTATACAAATAGTACTTACCTTTGGAGTCTAGAGACAATAAATGGCGCCTACGTTGGGCTCTATTTGGAGTCTTAGGATTTTTTCTGGACGGTTTGAGGTGCTTAGGATGAAGGTCAGGGCAGTTGTTGGTTCTGACCTCCGAAAAGAGGCCGTGGTGGTTAAACATGTTTGTTTGTGGATATGTGGCACGAAAAATAGTATGATTGAGAAGGAGGCAATATTGCTACTTCTTCAAGCTTCTCTATAACTTCAGCTGGTTAATCATGCTGTTCATCAGAGCGATGCGGCAACAGAACTCCCCGAACTCTACAGGTTCTGGTCATACAGGAGTTTAATACAGCAATAATTACGGAACCCAGCGTCGCACACGAAAACCCTCGCACCGCAGGCTTGAAACCGCGGAACCCAAAGCAGGCACGATCCCCGACCCAGAAAGCCCAATACCCCTTAACTAAGAAATATAGCTTAACTCATAATATGAAGCCCCTAATGATTTACGGTATATTCCTTAATTAAGGGGTATTGGGCTCTCTGGGGAACTCTACAGGTGCTGGTCATCGACGACTTCACCAACTCGGGTAGCACCCTCTTCGGTGCGGTCACGTTAGTCCGCTCCACGGCAGCAGGACAGGTTTCGCGCGCTCGGGCGTTAGGGTCTCCAATCTTCTTTAGGGCTTATAGTGTTTAGGTTTTAGTGTCTGGGCTTTGGGGTTTAGGTCTTAGGGCTTATATATATATATATACACACGGGTTTGGGGCTTGGTGTTTTGGGGTGTTAGGGTGTAATGTTTAGGGTTTGGGTTTTTAGGGTTTGGCATTTTTCGGGCTTTGGGTTGAGGGATCTCTGGTTTGCTGTTTCGCGCGTTCGGGTGCCAAGCCATACGACACCGCAGTTTCCCAGTACTTGGAGGATCATGGCACTTAGTAAGTAAGGCTATCGGTTCCCTAAGTGGGATTATAAGTGATTATAAATGCAGTTACCTTACTTATAAGACCACTTACTAAGTCCCATGATCCTTTAAGTATCTGAAGCCAAAGCGGTGAATCTGAATATAGGCCCAAAGCCCTTCTAGCCCCAAACCACCAAACCCAGAAACCCCAATTTTGCAAAAGCCCTTGCAAGCTTTACAAGAAAGCTGCATAACCTTACGACAGCTTGGCTGAGGCTTTACTTTCAATCTTAGGTATTGGAGCCCTTACAAAAGCCCCGATGAAGCTCCAGGTAGCCTGCTAAAGCCCGATGGAAGCCAACAAAAAACCGTCGAGCAACGCCTTAGCCCTATAATCAAGCCTATAAACCCCCAACCCGGTAATGAACGCTAAACCTCACACCCTAAAGATCCGCACAACCCTGCATCATTGCAACAAAACTTAAACCCTCAGCCTCAAACCCCATAGTCTAATAAAGCTAAACGAAAACTCGGGCATTTCTACAGACCCGTTACAGTAGATCTACTTACAGGAACCCTTAAAAGAGCCCTTAAAGGAACCCTTATGAACATTGAGACTCCCAGAAACCTCAGGTAGCTTGCTCCGCTCCTCTGGTGGCCTCATGGGACTATCGGTCCGAGCCTCAGTACCGGGAGGTACCGTTTTTAGGGGGTTTTAGAGTTTGGGGGTTTTGTGGTTTAGGGTGTAGGAGTTTCAGGTTTGGAGGTTTCGGGGTTTGGGGTTCTGGAGTTTACTTGGAGGCCCTTTTGACTTAGTAACTAGGATTAGTAAGCTGGGTTATGGGGATTATAATAGGGTTTCTAGGGGATACTAAGTAGACTTACTAAGTCAAAAGGGCCTCCAAGTAGGGTTCGGGAGTTTGGGGTTTGGAGCTTTCGGGTCTCAAAAGATCTTCTTGGCTTTACGATGGTCCGAGGGCTCCGAGTTTACGGTTTTGCGTTTCAGAGCTTCTGTGAGCTTCAGGGTTTGCGAGCTCAGGGTCCTGGGCTTATAGGATCCTTAAGGGAGGGTGGTTCAAGGGGAAGGAATCCTTAGGGGACTGTAAGGGAACCTTAGGGAGTACTAGGGAGAATTAGGGATCACTAGGCTATATACCCCCCTTGGACCCCCCTCCCTTAAGGATACTACAAATGTAGTTTTGGGGTTTGGGGGGTTTCTGCTTGTTTTTGGCTTCGGGTGTTGATGCTTCAATGAAGTTTAGTGCTTGAGGCTTCAGGATGACTGGCTCCCAGTACTATCTTGAAGACTTGCCGTTTAGGGTTTGGGGTGTATAGAGCGTATAGGGTTTATAGGGTTTTCGGGTTTAGGGTTTAGGGTGTATAGGGTTTATAGGGTTTAGGGTTTTCGGGTTTCGGGCCCAGGGCTTAGGTTTGCCAGTATGCAATACCCCTGTGCTAATCAGTCACAAACAACACTTCGAAGGGAATCTGGCAACGGCAGTAGCAGTAGCAGTCACAGGAGATTGAGCAAAACGAAGATAAACTAGCTATCACGGAAGCAGCAGTAGGTTCAGCCCGGGTCATCAATGCCATTAGTTATCCGGCCCCTAGCCGGAAATGATCTGGTAGTACAGTAAGTAGTCAACCTTTAAACTTTTGGAGTACTCAAATCCGTATATAGCCTCAGAGTTTAGCTCCCCTAGGATACTAGACAACTCTAACTAACCATTGATATCGGAGGAGCTAAGGAGCCAGGGATGATGATAATCCCTATTAAATAAGGAGCTAAAGAGCCAAGGGAACCCCAAAACCACTGCTTAGCTAAACCCCAAGCCCAGAACCCAAAGCCTCTAAACTGGACAACCGGGAAACCGATTCATCCCCCTCCTTCTGACAGGAGAAGGAGCAGATCGAAGGCGGCTTTGTTGCGCATGGTTTAGGGGTTTAGGGTCTAGGCCGGTTTAGGGTTTAGGCCGGTTTAGGGTTTAAGAAAGCTTCGGATTGCGGTGCGGGCGCTTCTTCTGACATTGCTATCTCGGGTGTTGTTAGTGTTATGTTTTCAATGTGGCTCCCAACTGCGATTCTTGTTGTCAGCGGTGGGGGTGCAGCTGTGCGGGAGGTAGGCTGCATGGTATCAATTCTGGTATTTTCTAGCTTAGGCGTCTGAATAGCAGAAACGATGTCCCCTTAATTAGGTCTTTGTATAACCCCCCATCATAAATCATCCTATTTCCATGTGCCAACCCTTTGGCCTCCAAAAGCCCGTTGCCGTCCCAAACCCGAAACACGAAACACGAAAGCCCCCGTGCGCTGAAGCCTAGGTTTAGGGTTTAGGGTTTAGGGGTTTAGGGTTTAGGGTTTAGGGAACTCAAGCCTCAGCGTTCCTTGCTGAGACCACAGTCGAGAGCAAGATGCTGCTCCTGGTAGCCTGAACCCATGGACCTCGCCCTTGAGTCCTTGTCGGAGCCGTACCCAGAGAGCCCAATAATACTCCTTCATTAAGGAATACACCTTAAACCATTAGGGGCTTCATATTATGATTTAAGCTATAATCCTAATTTAAGGGGTACTGGGCTCTCTGTGTAAGAATCACGAAAACATCACGAAAACTCGATTCCAAACCATTTCGACCCGGATGATCCCCAGGCCCCAAGAAAAAGTCGGATCGGTTTAGGGTTTAGGGTTTAGGGTTTAGGACACCAAGCCCACTTAGTTTTCTCCAGGCCGAAACCCCGAAGCCCAGAGGCCTCAAGCTTTGCAAGCGGAATTTAGAGATTGGGGTTCACGAAGCCCGCAACTGTTTGCCAACTCGCACAATGTGCGAAGCAAATGACCACCCCCAACGATCTATGCGGAAATCTAGTAACTAAAAACCCTAAAATTACCAGAAACGGAAAAACCCAAGAGACAGCAGCCGTTCACAAGTTCAGGCTTGCCAGTGTCGATCTTTGTCTCCCATCTGGTTGCTGCGTACACGCCGGACACCCCGAGCTCACATGCGATGTGGGAGTTTCCGAAAATAGGGGATCCTAATATTGTACCCCAAATACTAGGATCCTTATTATATGGACCCCAAAATAAGGCACCCCGAATTTTCGGAAATTCCCATGTATGTTGCTTTGGGGTCAGCTGCCCCAATAGTAACCTGGCAAGACTGGCAAGCAGCTTCCAATTCGGTCATGTCAACTTGTGTTGTTGTTGCTGCTGTTTGTTTTGTGGTTGCTGTTCCTGTTTACTGATGAGTCAGAGTCCGTACAAAGGCCCGTCAAATAGGAGCGACTGGGGGCTTGCATGGCCATGACATTTGGTATGAGGAGCATGAGAGCCACTCAGGTTTGGGCCAGAAGGAAGGAGTGTGATTTAGGCTTCAGGGTTTAGGCTTCAGGAGGGAGTTTGTTTTTTAGATAAGACACTGTGCAAGAATGGTAAGGAACGGGAAAGACTGTATCAGCCACAGCCAAAGCCCTAGATTCTGCCGTTCAGGCTAATGAGACTCTGGAATGCATCTTGGGCAGTCAGCCTTCAAGTCTCCACGTGGAGGGGCAGGGGACTTAGTAAGTAGGTTATAAGTAGAGTTATAAGTTCCCTAATTGGAGTTACCCCAATTATAACCCTACTTATAACCCTACTTACTAAGTCCCCTGCCCCTCCAAGTAGACCCTAAACCCTAAACCCCATAGATCCCTTTAAGGAGCCCTATAGATCCCTTTAAGGAGCCCTTTAAGAGCCCTTAAGCCCATTATTCTTCAGCCCGAGCTTGAAGGCCCAAATATCTCCATGATCCTGGCTTCCAGAGCACATACTTGGAAGGGCAGGGGACTTAGTAAGTAAAGGTTATAAGTAGGGTTCTAATCGAGGTAACTCCATTTACGGTACTTATAACTCTACATATAAGATACTTACTAAGTCCCCTGCCCTTCCAAGTACGGCTCAGGGCCTTCGATGTGGGGCTTTACGAGTGGAGCTCTTGGAGGTGAGGCTTTCACCTTAACTTAGGGGTACTTAGAAATATTTTTAATTTTTGGTTATTGTAATCTCTAAGAAACAGCTAAAACTAGCATCTTTGCTGGGGTTCTGAGTTCAATATAGTTAAGTTTCAGGCTTACACCCCAATCTGCAAATACCACAGGCCACCCAAGGACTGAAGTTCTCAAGCCCAAATCCTGCCCTGAGGCGTAACGCCCCACTATCATGAAACCCTTCAAAAAGCCTGGCAGCAGGAGACCGTCACAAAAATCCGGAAGAAGCTCGCGGCCTTAGGCTCACCCGAAGACTAAGTTGAGGGCACTGCCATAAGATTTCAGGTTTAGGGTTTCAGGATTTAATGTCCAGGGGTTTAGGCATTTTTTTCATGCGGCAGTGAACCTCGACCCCTCCCGTCCTCTTGAACGGCCTGAGGGCCTCACTATTCATGTTTTTTCAGTTATCATTGTCTTATATCTTACATACGTTTGTTGTATATTGTTATTGTCATTGTTATGAGTCTTATCATTACCAGTATCACGGCTAATTAAGGGCCGATTACATATGCTACATGTTAGGTTTAACATGACTGATAACAACAATCGCAAAACAGTATTACTAATAATTCGGTTAAAATACTACTTTTAGTAATATGATTCGCGATTTCTGAATATTCCTATTCGTTTTATTACATGGCTTGTACAATTTCTATTGTTGCTGTTAATATTTATGCTTAAGTGTTTAAAATAGATGGAGGGCGGCCGGACAGCCAAGGCCACGGAGGTAAGATAAAAGTTCTGATTGAAATTTTCAGCAAATTGCCCTTAGGGTTTAGGGTGTAGGGGTTTAGGGTTTAGGGTTTTACCCTAAGGCCCCAAAGTAGTTCCTTTTTGGGGTTCATATTTAGAATCCTATAAGGTAATCCCAAAAGGGAACCACTTTGGGGCCGATGGATAAAGCAACAAAGCTGCTTCGCCGTTGTAAGAAGACTTGGCTTCCCAGGCCCGACGGCCATGGAGGTAGCATAAGATATGTGGGTGGTTGTCAAAATTAGGGTCCCCTTTTTAGGTACCCTAAATAATAGGTGCCGGACTAAAATAGGGACCCACAAAGGGACCCTAATTTTGACAACCATCCATATGTGTTCAGATATTTGGAGATCCGCATGTTGAAAGATCGCCACTGTGTGAGTACAACAAGTGTAAACAGTAGGAATAAGCGTGCTAACAATAATGATGACGATAAGAATAAAACCCATAAGAAGAGAGTGAATACGAATGAAGTACTACTAGCAATATTGCTGAACTATACTAGTAGTTTCAACATCAGTTGCTGTCATTACTACTATCTCTGTTGTTGTTATTGTTGTTGCTTTGTTCGTCCTTGACTGTTGTTCCTGCTATTCTCGTTGGGTCCAGATCTTCCAGTGCTGTTTTGTTTTTGCCATTCCTGAGTCAAGTCCAGCTGCTCCGCATCTCCTATAACCGGAAAATGTAGCAGGGTTCCTCAGGCAGTGTGTCTGCAAGCACTCGTAATATCCTACTCCACCCCAAGCCGACTTGGAGGAGCGTGTTCAGCGCAAGTATCAGCCAACAACCACGTACTCACCCACATAATCAGCAATACTCCACAGGAGCCTGTGTAAACCCGGTCTAAAACCGACCGTAGCCGCAGGGATTTTAGCTTGAATCTGAGAGATGTGAAGCCCTGGATCTGTTTTCTAGGCTGAGTACCTCTGCAGCTTATTGACTATTGGGCCGGAAATTGTCAAATGATGCTCAATACTGGCCTATAATTACGTGGGGGTCAATATGTATGTATGCATGTTGGTTATGTATGTGTGCATATGTATGCATGGATGTCTTCATGTTTGTATTTACGTATGTAGGCATGTAGGTATGCATATGTGTGTATGTGTATGTGTATCTTCATGTAATTCATGTATGTATATGTGTATGCATGTCTGTATGAGTGTATGTACCAACTTCAGCGTCTTTCGTTTGTAGGCGTCTGGGCCATGTGGCTTCAGTGCTTCCTGCAAAGGCCCCTAAACCCTATAAACCCTATAGAGCCTTTTCACCCTATAAACCCACAAAATAGCCTATAAACCCTCTATATAAGTCCTATAAACCCTATAAACCCTATGAGCCGCATGAACCCTACAACCTAAAGCAGGCCCTACATGCAAGCTCTACACCACCGACAGCATTCCGCTGACCACGAAGATGCTAGAAGACGATCGCCAGGCCAAGATGGATACCAGGGGTTTAGGATTTCGGATTTTAGGATTTTAGGGTTTTAGGATTTTAGGGTTTTTAGGATTTTGGGATTGTAGGGTTTTTAGGTTTTTGGGGTTTTAGGGTTAGGGTTTCCCAGACCCCCGGGGAGGATCCAAAAAGTAGATCCCTTAATGGGGGTTCTTATAAACTACCCTTAGTAGCATAGGGCCCCAAATTAGGGGATCTGCTTTCTAGATCCTCTGATGCGTAGGTAAACAGGTGTACATAAACATGTATGAACATGTGCATGTCTATATCTATATATTTATATATGTAGATTCAGGCGGTCTGCGTGACAGCTGAAGCTCTTTCCGGGACTCAGATGTTCAATTGCCCACGGACTCTTGAGTAGCTGTAGCTTGGATACTGCCCTGGCTCAGTAACAGTTGACCAGTAGTTTTAATCTGGATATATACGGCGCTTGTAAGTAGCCCCATTAAAGACTTCGAGCTGTAACCATCTAATCATCGGAGCTGTGCATGTATGCCAGGTATTGCCAGTGCACTGGTCCCACAGTCTCAGGGACAGGTGTAGCACTCACACTTTATAAGCAACTGTATATCTCTGCCAGTTCATGTCAGTGTACACGTCCGACTACGTACTGGGGCTAGCATGAGTTTTCCAGGAGTTGGAATTGAAACTGCCTTGCCAAGCCTCCACGAACCCTAACCTTCACCTCTATTGAGACTGGTCCTGGCAGCAGGTTGAGGGATCTGGTGCTGTCGGGACAGGAAGTGCAAAAACTCTCGGTTCGTCTCAACCCTAAATTACCTGCAACAAAAGACCAAACCAAAAAAACCCTAAAAGCTCAATGCCCAGCCTTGAGCACTCAACCCTTCACCGGGCGGGGTTTTGGCAGAACGCCGTTATTACATAGAACGTACATATATATATATATACACACGCACGCAAATACATACAACAATAGCAATCACGGTAATAGTAACAATAGTAATATGAACAGTAATAAGAATACCAATTTTATAGTGACACCATTGCAAAAAAGGAACAAGCTCAAGCCAAGACCGAACACCTAAACCGTAAATTTCCAGCTAGCAGTCTTAGGGTTTTAGGGTTTAGGGTTACCCTAAACCCTAAACCGTGGCTTTATGAGCACCGGAAATCCAACCCCTGGCTCCCAGGCGGAGGTGCTTCCGCTCGCGGACTTCTTCTTGGAGTATTTGAGATGAAGGCCGCACAAGATTAGGGTTTAGGGTATAGGGTTTGGGGTTTAGGGGTGTGAAACAAAGGGGTTTCGTGAGGGTTTCAGAAGCAAGATTCAGTTTGAAGCGGTCGTAAAGTGATGGCGTAGAGGCTTTAAAAGCTAGCAGAAAAGGTTTCTTTATGGGTCTCAGTGGTCTTGTTCAGTGTTTCGGAAGGATTCTTAAATGTTGTGAACGGGTTCCGTTTCGAGGGTATCAGGACCTAGGCCTTCGGGTTTAGGGCTGTGTTTAGGGATGAAGGTGTTTGAACATTTCTGTTCTATTATAGGAGCCTTGGGAATCAATTATGAAGCTTGAACTTATCTTTTGTATGTTAGGATGTTAGGAGCTATAATATGGCGCACATGTATGTTGGGGTATGGTTGAATTGCGGTGGATCTTGCAGGGACGGCTCCATGGCATCGGGAAATGAGTACATGGTTTGAAAGGACAGTAACCCTGAACAGGCCTGAATACCGTCCTCTTCTAGTCCCTATATGATGAGAGCAAGTTATACGGTTATGCCCAGCAACCTTTTCCTGAATTCTCTGGCCCTGTACCAGCTCTCTCTCTATCTCTCCAGGTTTGCCTGATCGCGGCCGTAGGAGGTAGACCGGCGCTCGAGGGCTTAGTCCTTCGAGTGCTGGACGACGTTTTTCCCAGATAGGCTGAGTTGCCTCGTGAGTTATCTGGGTTGGCTTTCTGTCTATGGATATCTTGTCGTGGATTACTTCCACGATCTTCCACGCGAAATATGAAAACACCATGGGCTTCCAAGTGAGGCTCAAAAGGCCAACCTGGTTATTATGGGACAGCGTCCTGCGAAGCAGACAGTTGTACCCGGGCCTTGTGCCCTCGATGAAGGTTGCACGCCAGGGGATTTTCTGAGGCTCTTCTCTGCTGCTGTGCTGACAGCACCCCGGACCACGGTAAGCGATCAACGGAAGTATTAGCAGCACTTGCTCAAGACAGCAGACATGTGGACAAAATCTAGGGGCCGTATACTAGCTCCGTCATCTTAGTTTTTTGTAATGTCGCACGGTAGTTTATGGAGTTTAGGGTTTAGGATTTCGGGCGAGTAATACATTTTGTTGTTCCAAGTCTATCGCAAGACTGTTCAGAACTGGATGTCAAGCCAGCATGGAGCCTTGTCCTACCGGCTCGGAGAACCAAGCGCACAACGGCGAGACGAGAAGGGCACTTGCAATTTCGCGAGGGATCTGCACAAGAACTGGCCGGTTCTGCCAGGCACACCACACCTATCAGCAGAAGCACGGAGAACTATCGGTCATGTTGTCGTGCTGGCCACCGTCATGCTCATGATGATCATAACGTCATAGTGGTTGTCGCCATCCTGTTTTCATCGCACATCCTTCAACACGATCACCAGCATCAAGATCGTTGTCGCAGTCAGGGTCCCCCGTCATCACGACACCATGACTGTCAACATGACCGACATGTTCTGACTGTTATTTTGCAATCGTGCTGACGGGCGCAGTAGCCAACATCGCATCATGATGATGATGACGATAATCCGTGGATGAATGAAGGGGGCAGTAGCAGCATGCAGCAGCAGGAAGACGGAAAGAGTAGCCAGAGCAAAACCACAAAGATCATGAGTCGAAGCTCAGAGCAATACAAATGTCGTTTCTTGGATGTCAAGCAAATGCCGCAGGTGCGACACCAGCACCATCACCACCTTACATCCTCCGGCAGCATACAGCAACTGGCCCGAAACCCTATCACCAGGCACAACTACAGCGACGACAAACTCGGATCGATTGGCCTGCCTGGTTTGAGTTCGTGTTGGCGATTCTCACACCATTGCTTGGGATAGTATCTGAAATGGTTCCGTAGACATGAATCTGGGCTCTTGTTAAGGAGCCTCAAGTAATAATGTGCTTTCCGCATAACAGTAGATAAAGCCTGGGACCTAGAGTAGGCCCTTATTCCCTTTTTGTAGGATTTAGGTTCTCTTAAAACACCCTTTAACCCCAAAAGAGCACCCTTTTTATTCCTAGGTCACTCTTGGGTCTAGAAGCTGAACACACTTAATTAACAGGAACCATGAACCTGAGGAGCGAAGACCGTACACCTACAAAGTCGGAGCCCTGACTGCTGCAGGGAGCGATGTGGCTTTGTAGAGGGCAGCCCTAAGCCTCAAACCGGATTCCTCTTTGACTGACTTACCTTAGGGGTACTTAGAAATAATTTTTAGTTTTTGGTTATTACAATCTCTAAGAAACAGCTAAAATTATGATTGTTGCTAGGGTTCTAAGCTCAGTATAGTTACTTGCATGGCCCTAAACCCTATACACCCTAAATAGGGCACAGGGTTTCTAAACCCTAAACCCTAAACCCTAGGGCTCAGAGCTATCTAGCGCAGGGTTCGGAGGTTTAGGCTCCTTCGTTGATCGAATGGCAATGCGGATTCTTGCAAATTGAAGCTTGTCCGGGTTTAGGGTTTAGGGTTTAGGGTGCTTTCGGTTGGAAGTAAAGGCAGGGAGTTTAGGTAATCTTAGACCATGTGCACCCTAAAACGCATTGGGATTCATGGGACACCAGTGTCTGGGCAACTTTCACCCTCCTGACACACGGCCCGGAACTGTCACATAGGTCCAACAGGACTGCACCTGTTCAGCAGTAGGGATCGCTGTATAACATACCCTGAAGTAATCCCTATATAGGTACTTCAGAGCCAAAGTATATACTATTTGGGCACCTGGACCCTTAAACCCTAAACCCTAAATCTACCCTTAAAGGAACCCTTATGGTGCCCTTAAAGGAACCCTATTTTGGGCACATGGGACCCTTAGGGATATGTACACATACCGCATGTTTGCATGGACCTCAAGGGCTTCGAGTCTGACCCCGGCTTCTTGAATGGTAAAGGGCATTGGGCTTTCGGTTGAGGGGCCATAGCGGGGTATTAGTTCAGGGTCCAGGGTTCTGGGGCGTAGGTTGAAGTTTTGCTTGATTTGGGTTTGGATTGAATTTAGGGTCCTGAATTTAGGGTCTAGGTAGGGTTTGAATTCTCTTGGACTGAGAACTAGAGAGTGCATATACACATAAATATCAATTTGGGATAATTGCCATTGTCCCCTAGTGTAATACAGAGCATTAATCTTAATTGTGAATAATAAATTTGGGAACTGTTGAAATCGAAACATAATAGTACAGGATTGATCTTGGGTGGTTTGCGTGCTTGGAGCTTCAAGACCTTTTGCCCCCTGCGACGTCTCTGCGATGGTCGCCGTGGGGGACAAGGCCTTCATTCTCCCGTGTTGAGGCATTCGAGCTTCGATTAGTTCAGATTTCGAAAGACGCATCGGCACACGAATTACGAATTAGGGTCTGCCCTGTAAGGAGGAGTCCATACAACCTGGGTTGTGACGAGTTTTACTTGGGGGTCTTTCAGAGATTGGAAGTCTTTTCCGTTATAGTCCACACTTCTCCCCGTGATATTTTTATTATGCGTGTAATGAGGGCGGGCCTGCGCACCACGATCTTGATGACATCCAGCCTCATGCCCACTAGATGGCGAACCTGAAATGCTATTTAAAGTCACACAAGTCTTGCAGGGCATGGGCACTGAAGAACTCATTGCAATGAAAACTTCCGACCCTTCAAGACCCAAGGCCTTGAACCTGGGCACATTCGCTTCGATGCCAAAAGGATTCTTTTGGGTGCAGGCTTGGGTCCCTGAATCCTACAGTGATTGGCTTTTTGTAAAGAGATGCTGAGGCCCGAAAACGGATAGCGAACCGAGCCCGTATCATGGTAAATCCTAAACTCGACTCAAAACCCCAACCCGATCCAGAACACACTAAACCCTAAACCTTACACCCCAAACCAACACTCCAACCCAAACCAGCAAAAGCCTAAATTGCTACTACCGAAAGGCTGACTTGCCCTTCAGGCTCAAGCGTTTCAAAATAGACTTTGGGTTCCCCGAAAATGTTGGTCTGCTTTGGGCTTGGGGTTTATAATAGGGCTTTTAAGGGTTCATAGGGTCTAGGGTTTAGGGGTTTAGGGGTTTGGGGTTCACGCTAGTCATGCTTCAGGTTTGGGGGGACCTAAATCCCGTACTATTTATACAAGTTCAAGGCTTCTTATCAATTTGGGCATTCGGGCTGTGAAGGGCCAGAGACAGTATGCTAGCAGAAAGCTGGCTTTGAAACGCCTTCTGACAGCGGACACAAGATCACCCTGCGAAGCAGTTCCAAAGACACGGCTGGGATTGACGTATGCGGGTCGTGCCCTGCGTAGATGAGAACTTTTAGACATGCTACTCTCGTCAGTCCTGTTATGTCCTGCTCCAGCCAAAAGCAGGGCAGCATACATGATACCAGCTAGGTTGCTTGGCTAAGGGTTTAGGCTTGAGGGCTTGAGACTTAGGCATTATGGTTCGGGTCGACTAAATGAACCCCTAAACCCTAATCAAACCCGAAACCCTAAACCCGAAACAAAGAAGCAGCAGGTGGTGGTCAAAGCCACGGGTGCCTCCGGTGCCGTCTCGCAGAGTAATGGGCATGCGAATCCTGACGGCATTGAGTGCTTAGCTTACCCCATGCTTCCAGGGACCTTTTTATGGGTCCTTAAGGGGTCTGGGGACCCAACCTTGGCAGCATAGGGTTAGGGTGTTTCGATTGTTTTTTGGGGTATAGTGTTTGGACTGTTCACGGTGGCTATGTCAGGCTGCGGCTATTCCAAACTGAGGCTCGTCTTGTAAATCCATCCCCCGAACCTTCAACTGCGAACCCTTAATCTGACCTTAAATGCTAAACGCGGGTTGAACACCTGCACTCCGAAAGCTTCACTGTTTCCCCGATGGCACATCCGTCGTCGCACACATCTTGTCGACGTATCCGTTCCGCATGGTTCAGGATTTCGGGTCTATTCGACGATACGTGCTCGAAGTCTTAACAAACTCCATCCCTCTGCATGCTGTTCCAGCAGTGCAGCTGAAGCCTAACAGCATGAGCCGCAAGCGCTAGAGTTTCACACGCTTGAACCTTACGTATCGGGCGCTCTACCCAAGCAACACACCCCTGGATGCTTGCAGGAAAGCAATGCATAACATATCCGGGCAGACAGAAAAACCCTCGACCCCTACACACTGAACCTGCAGCCGAGTTGTGCCAGGTCCAAAGTATGTGGGCTCTGGTACCTGAATGATGAGCTTCAAGCCACGTCGAAGCACAGAAGCCGGTCTCGGGTGGACGATCGGAACATGGCGGTTACTTTAAACAGGGGCATTATGATTCTTCTTGTTTTGTATTGTGATCATACACTTTGTCCTGATATTATAGTGTTGCTACTACTAGTGATTCTGGCATTTAGGGTTCCCGCACTTCGGAAACTCCCATGTATGTGTGGGCAGGGGCAGGGTCGGTCTCGCTTAGAGGCTATGTTCCCCATTATTGTTCTTTGTGGGCCCCACTCTAAATCCGAATAGCAGGAAACCGGGTGCCCACCCTTAGTCTCAAGGGGACATTGGGGAACCTAGCATATCTACCAGTGAGAACATCAACCCGAGCAACTAAATCATAAACCTACCTGAAGAGCCTCGCTTTTTGATGGGGGCATGTGGCTCTGCGTTTAAGGGTTTAGGGGTTTAGGGTTTAGGGTTCCATGGTCACGTGCCAAAAAGCTAGGTGTTGTCGGGCCCAGGTAAGGCTTCAGACAAACTAAACTTAACCTGGGACTACCGCAGTCAGGAGGCGAGTTCTAGAACTGAGCTGGCAAACTCCGGGACCCATCGTTTCGCAGGGAATAGGGCGAAAAGGGTCCCTGTAGTACAAGTCGGGTTTCCTTCAATCCTGGGCTCATTTTAAGAAGGGATAAGTTGTACCCTTATCCTCTTTCAGCATCTTACAGACAAGACAGGTGCGACCTTCAAAAAAAAATGTCGCACCTGGTCGCACCCATTATCGCCCGCACCAAGACAAATTTCTAAAAGCCCTCGGATCAGTCCCCCCTCAGCACAAGACAGGGTGTGTGTTTAGAGTGTTTACAGTCTTTAGAAACAACTGTCGCACGCTGGGGCTTTGAAGCACATAGATCTTCATGTCAGTGTGCATGCACGAGGTCATTCACTGTAGAGAGCACTGTATCTGTATCATTTCAATGTCTTCCAGTCTGGGCAACCCCTCCGAACAGAAAAAGACGGCCCTTATTCTATCGGTTCCGAAATCAGGAGTCAAGGTGTAGGTTCATGGTGCGTTTTAGCTGTACATTCGGAAGCTCTCGTTAAACCTTGTCGGGGTCAGAACACCACTTCTACCCCAATCCAGAAACAGACGCATGTAAAATGTCTCGCAGGGTTTAGGGTTTAAGGATATGCCTAGACTATTAACCCCAATTACCCACTATTATGGACCCTGAGGGCTCTATTAAAGGGACACGGGGGGTCCTGGTGTAGGGCTTTAGCCTGCAGTTTCGGCTAAGGCTGCATCGCAACCCATGAAGTGCGGTGGTGGAGCCCCGAGCTACCCCGGCGGCGCTGCCGGTGGTGCAGGCCAGCTTGGGCTGGAGCTTCCCAGAGGCTCCAATATTCCTTAAATCATATTAGGGATCTTACCATATTTTCATTTCTAGTTTGAGGTATATTACTTAATTAAGCGATATTGGAGTCTCTGGGTTCAAGGTCCTTAGAGACCAAAGGGCCCTTACAAGAAGGGGCCTTATATCCATATACTGCGAACCTTTATATGGTAAATTAACCTTAAACCCTTGTAATGAGGGTTTCTAATCCTCAGCCGGTATTACGATGTGAACTGATCCCTCATGCAATGCGGGTTTTGCAAGGCTGTGGTTTTCCAGCCCCATGCCGCGCACACCCTACGATTTTAATTCTTAGCTAAATGGCTTAGGGCTGCAAGGGTTGGGGGCTTGAGCGGTCCAGGATTTTGGGTGTGGTGCCTCGAGTTGGATGTTGGATTCTTTCGTCTAGGGAAGTCAGGTTTTAAAAGTCCCAACAATCGGAAAACGCGGCGCCGCCAGGAAAACCTCTTAACCACATCGGACAGTCAGACCCGTACACAATCAGGGCATGACTACAGTTCCTATCCTAGTCACGAACACTACTCTGCCATTACTTTTGCTACTACTATGCAAAAACGATTAAAACTAATGCTATTGCCGCTGCTGTACTGCTGCTCCAAGTACTGCTATTACTACTTTTACTATTAGTAGGACTACAGTACTACTAACTGCAACCACTCCTGTGACCGTCCGACTGTCTGACTGCTCTCTACTGTCTGCTTTTCGGTTGCGCCCCGTTGGCACTCTCTCTCTCGTCTCTGTCTCTGTCTCTGTCTCTGTCTCTGTCTCTGTCTCTGTCTCTGTCTCTGTCTCTGTCTCTGTCTCTCTCTCTCTCTCTCTCTCTCTCTCTCTCTCTCTCTCTCTCTCTCTCTCTCTCTCTCTCTCTCTCTCTCTCTCTCTCTCTCTCTCTATTTATATATAATACAGGAGCTTGCCGACTACTCTTCCTTACAATTCCTTGGTACAGCTAAACGAGTGTACATCCCCATCCCCATGTATTACCGACCGAAACCTATGGCAAGAATAGCCCAAGTCTCCATTCTCCGGATTCTTAAGGCATTGAGCCTAAACCATCAACCCTCGAACGTAAGAGGCATGATGGTCGGTGGATGGAGTGGCGGCCGACCGCTGAAGGATGCAGACAAGGAGGATCCTGGTCTAACGGTCAATGTTCGAGGTAATACTGTTGATGATATAAATCCTGCATGACCTTAAGGACCCGAAACTATGGGAATTATGGTATATTCCTTATAATGGGTCATGCAGGATTTATATCATCAACCGTAGGGGCTAGGGCTTCAGGTTTTGGGTTGAGGTTTCAGGGTTCTTGGGCAAACCCCTGCTTCAAAACCCGTTTTCTTCAGGACCTTCGTACTAAGATGCCTATTATAGTCCCTAGTCATCGGCAGGAAGGCAAGTTTTTGGCGGCTCGGGTAGGGTTTAGATGGTTTTATTTGCGCTTTCCCATTTGAGGTCGGGGGTTTCAGGGTTTAGGAAGACGGAACATGCCGCACATTAGAAGATCATTATCATACCCTTAACCCCTGAACCCTAAACCCTAAGCCAGCGACTCACCGAAAGACGGCAAATCGGTGAAAGTCCCGGCGTCCGTCATCCCAAACACAGGGAGCACGTGTTGAGGCGCAAATAGTAGGACCAAGGATCTTTGAAAGAGCTAACCGAGTTTGTCCATTTACCGAGCGGTAGTCGATGAGCTCCCTAAATCACAGCCTCTTAACCCTGTAATTACCGTAAACCAGCTGTAAACTCGAAACCTAATCCGAAACTCGAAGCCGTAGCAGACGCCTTGGACCAGTGTTCCGAACCTGATATCCGAAGGCTGTCGCAAGGAGTAGTGCAAAACTTATAGCGAGGCCCAATCTCCGAACCCGAACACAGACCAAGGGACTCTCCACCCCCTTGGTGTAGGGTTTAGGGTTTTTGGGGTTTAGGGAATATACCTGGAACCATATTCAGCACCCCCCTGATGCTTCCAGGGCATATTTCTCAAGTAAGTAATCCCGAGTACTCCGCAACGCCCTTCCTCTATAGAAGGGAAATTTCTGCATATCACACTCAACTGCTGAAATAAGCAACCTCAGAACCTGGACCCTTTAACCTAAAACCCTAAACCCTAAGTGTGCAGAACCCTACACCCAAAATCTGAAACCCCAAACCCATAACCTCCAAACCCGAAACATTGACGGTAAACTTACTTTTGCTTATAGTAGGGAACGGAAGAATGGTAGTAATAGTAGTTATAATTGTACCCCATTCCTCCATTCCCTACTAACCAAAAGTAAGCAATGGGTCCATGTACCCAAACATTATATACTATGGGCCCAATTTACCTACATAGGGAATACTTTGAGGCCGTTCCCTACTAACCAAAGGTAAGCAAAGAGCCCTGAGGTTTGGGCGCAGCTGTGCAAAACGCGAGAAGCGGAGCTCGGAGCACTGGGGAGCCGCGAGCAGCAAATCAGGTTTGGCTGTTGGGTTTCGGGTTTGGGGGTTAGGGTTTGGGGGGTTTGGGGTTTAGGGTTCTTGGGGTTTAGGGATTAGGGTCCCTTTAAAGGGGTCTATAGGGGATCTATAGTAGGGGTCTATGATATAGGGGCCTTAATGGTTAGAATAGGGTTAGGGTTTGGGGTTTCGGGTTTGGGGTTTGGGGCTCGTGGTTCGGTCGGGCATCCGTCAGGTCAGTGTCAGCCATGAGGGTTTGGGGTTTAGGGCTTCGCTGTTGGGTGTGGGGGTTTGGGGTTTAGGGCTTCGCGGATGGATTTGGGGTTTAGGGCTTTGGTGTTGGCTTTGGCCAGGATTCAGGGCTTTAGCTCATTTAGGTTAGGGTTGAGGGTTTGGTTAGGGTTTCGCCGTTGGCTTTAGGCCATGATTCAGGATTATAGGTTAGGGTTTAGGGTTTTAGGCTAATATTTCGTTGTTGAATTTATGTACAGGGTTACTAAGCCCTCAATCCGTGGGTTTCATTCAGTTTTGGTGTTGGTTTCAGGCTAAGGGTTTGGGCTGGGAGTTTACGGTAACGTGGCTGAGTTGTTGAAATATGGGTTTGAGGGTTTGGGGGGTTAGGATTTAAGTCTCCTGGATTTCGGAATAATTCAAGAGTTTGTTCCGAATGCACGTAGAGCTTTGGGTTTTGTTGTTGGGGAGAAATGGCTGCGGCCCCTACAGGTCACAATCACGGCCATCCACCATCCTCGATATCGTTTGGAATGCCCCCATCGGTGTAGTTGTGTATAAAAGGGCCTGAATAATGAGGATAGCTGTGGCAGGTTCTGGTGTATGTGTTGAAGAATTCTGAGGGGTCCGATTAATTGCTAGTTCTTCAAGCTCTATACTGAACTACACCACCTTTGATTCTGGCATTTTTCGCTGTTCCGGTTTAGACATTTGCAGAGTCCCATAAAAGAGCATACTTCGCCGGGACGAAGGTTTCCACAAACCGGGGATCTTCTCTGAAACATGCACATATGGGTGGTTGTCAAAATTAGGGTCCCGTTTTGGGCATCCTGAATCCTAAATATTAGGTGCTGTACTACAATAAGGACCCAAACAGGGACCCTAATTTTGACAACCACCCATATGTTGCGAAGAACTGGAAAGGGCACGGGTCTATTTTGCATGGCCAGCGTGGCAGAGTAGTTACTTCCTTCCCGGGAAAAAGTTCTACAGAACGGCCTGTCAGAATCTTGTTTGAGGAGGCTACTGGCGAGCGGGGGTTGCAGGGCCTGACATGTTAAGTTACAGGTACCGGTCGTGTGGCGAACGTTTGTCCGAACTGTTATCCTGAGGGAATACTAAATGATGTTAAGCAAAGAAACACCACCATACAACTACATGATAGCTAAGATCTAAATCCCGTATAAAATCCATATTTCCCACGAGCCACACAGGCGTGGTGATCCCAAATTTGAACCCCTTCATAACCCTTGGCCCTGCAACCCTAAACCCTACACCCCGAATACATGTCTGGAACACACCTTACAACCTCTTAAACTAAATCTGAACCCTTGCCACAACCTTAAATCCAACACCCCAAATAAAAAAAGAACTATCCCCCAGTCCTAAATCTGAGCCCCTACAACCCGAACCCTTACAGTGCTACCTTAAACACTACACCCCCCAAAAAATTCTAGAGTAGGCATGCAGAGGATGCCCTCGTCGGTGTCCGAGCAAGTGGTGGCTGGCATCAAGCTCGGGGCCCGGTTTTAGGGTGTAGAGTTTACGGTTCAGGTTTAAGGTGTAATTTGGGTTTGCGTTGAAGGTTTAGGGTTTAGGGCGTTCGGTGTGTATATTATGGGGCTTCGGTAAGGGCTTCAGGGTTCGGGATTTTCAACTCTCCAGGGTTTCGGGCACAATTCATTGAGGTGAACAAACGGTCTGGGCAGTCATACTACGAGTGCCCCATACAATACTTGGCCATAATTGAAGCCCCTCCCCCGCCCCAATTTCATGCCTAAAGTCTAACGTCCCTATATGTATTCTTATAGTTACAGGTTGTCGGATATCAGGGTTTGTTTAAAGCTCGGCAGGGAGGGATGTTGTGGCGATTGGCGCAACAACAAGTCGCAGTGCAGGAAGTGCCGCGGCTCCTGTCTGTTCCTGCCAAATCTACTCGGGTGTGATGTTACTCGTCACAGCCAAAAAACAACGCCTAAAGTTCTTATCATCCTGAGTCCAGCTACTACTATTTGCTTAAGAACCCCCCAAATATATATATATATATATATATATATTCCTTATAGGGATAATATAGGGATTATATTTTTTAATTTTTTGGGTGGTTCTTAAGCAAATAGTAGGTTACAATACGTATTTTTAGGACGCCAAATTAACAGCACGCAGGTATAGCTTCATGTTCGACAGCGGGGCGAAAGTGATTGCCTTGAGCGTTCCGTGGATGAACAAGCTGGAGGTGTTGGAGTTTCAGAAGTCCTGAGTGCAGAACCGCCGTTGAAGGCCAGCCCCTTGCTGATACTCCTGACGCGTCAACCCCAACTTTACCACGCCTGCAGCTCTACACCTGAAAGCCCCTAAACTCCAAAGACGCTAAGCGTGGATGTGAAACATTCGGCTAGACGAGCTAGACACGAAACACGAAACCTTATACATTTTATTCCCTAAGCCCTGAACGACATCTACCGCGCACCGAGAAACGGCCAGAGCCCCTCGCCTTCGAGCATTCTATCCTAAAGCTCCTTAACCACAAACCCTGCAATTAGGCCATTCAGCAGTGAAACGAAGGGACGACATAATGTGATAGGGTAGGACTCGTATGTGACATGGTATAATGTGATATTGTGTGACATGATACGATTCAGTTTGATCTGAACTGAATGAGATGATCTGATACGTTATGGCATGACATGGCATGACATGATTTAGTATGACATGAGACGGCATGAGTTGATACAACATGACATGTTAACAGGTGCTGTGATGCGATCTCAAATGCTATGATATGATAAAACTCACAAAACGGTGTGATTTGAGTTGGTCTGAAGTGAGCTGATCTGCGATGGCATGATGTGTTGTGATATTATGAAGTGTCTCCTGATCTGAATGGAGAAGGTGTGGTTTGGTTTGATGAGTCATGATGTGAGGTCATATGTTTACAGGTGAGATGACATGACAAGACATGACATGATGTGCCATGATCTGGACAGCGCCTCGGGTTCTTTTGAGGTGTAGGTTTGGTTTTGAAGAGCATTGCTTAATCCTGTGAGCTTCCCCGAACTACGTTCAAAGGAGGTTATAGGTTTTCTGAACTCCAAACTCGGCGTTGCTTGCTCCGGCTGTGATGGTCTCGACATATGCCTTGACGAAGCTATGTCACTGGGCTCTGTACCACTAGTGTTTGTTGTGTCTGCTTGGAGGCGTATGCTTGCTGGTGCAAGGAAAAGGGCGTAATCACAATGTCACAAGCATTTCGCCTGCTGCTGCAACGGTTCACGTCGTGTCGAACTGATACGTCGCTAGTCCAGAAGTGATTGTAACCCAAGCCGACCAGAATCACGGATTCAGCTTGCACTGGAAATCTGCGAAGCCCCGAACACTACGTAAGCCTTTCAGAGGTGCATGCCGTGATTTGTTTCATTTTTGGCCGAAACATCTGCAGTCAGTTAAGGGGGCCAAGCCTCTGAGCATTTGCAGATGAACAGGCATCGCTTAAAATGTGAAGGAAAAGGCAATCAGGTGATCTCAGTTCATTGAGTTTGTAAACAGGCAACCGGGTTTCGTTGCATATCTTTCATTACTTTTCACAAGTGGGGGGGTGCTTTTCGAAATTGCGGCGCTTCCGCAAAGGAAGTTTTGACTCCAGCTACCTTGGCTGGAAGTGGGGTTTAAGGATGGATATGGTGAATGTACCCTAAGCCCAATTATACGAGATTCGCGAAGCCTAATGTTGGAGTGGCTTTAATAAACCCCCCCCCCCCCCCCTGAGGTTGTTTTGCGCGGGGGTCTCTTGGGGGAGGGTCTGGGGTCAGGGTGGCAACAGTAAACCTCTGGCCTGCTCTGGGCCTAGTATACTAGTAGTAATAGTAGTAATAATAATTAGTAGTAGTAGTAGTAGTAATAGTAGTAATAGTAGTAGTAATATTAGTAATAGTAGTAATAGTAGTAATAGTAGTAATAGTAGTAATAGTAGTAATAGTAATTAATAGTACGTGAAGTCTCAACCTCTGGCATTCGCAGCACTCTGGCTTCTGTGCCCTCTGCCGTTCTGCTTTCCTTCTGAACTCCCTCTGACGCCACTGGACTGAAGCAAGGAGTCTGGCCGGCCTAGGGTTCTGTACAAATAAGTATCCACGTACTATCTGAGGCCATGGCTGCCGCTGATGTGGACATGACTCTGGCGAACGGCGCTGGGGAGGCTTCTCGAACTGTTTCTTTGAGCCTGGGTTTCTGGGAAGTATCTGAACAGGAGTCTGAAGAGACCACGGCTGGAGCCCCTGCGGAGTCTGGCGAGACTTGGCTAGTATCTGCAAGAAAGGGTCTGGGGTTTGGGGTTCTGGGTGTGACTTCTGCTCTTATCTGAGGCACCCTCTGGACCGCCCAGCTCTGGCGACACTTGGCTGTTATCTGCAAGAAAGGGTCTGGGGCTTGGGGTTCTGGGTGTGACTTCTGCTCTTATCTGAGGCACCCTCTGGACCGGCATCTGGAACCCCTGCTTTGTCTGGCGAGACTTGTCTATTATCTGCAAGGAAGGGTCTGTGTTTTGGGGTTCTGGGTGTGACTTTTCTGCTCTTATCTGAGGCACCATCTGGACCGGCCCCTGGCGAGACTTGGCTGTTACCTGCGACAAGGGTTTGGGGTTCTGGTTGTGGCTTCTGCTCTTATCTGAGGCACCATCTGCATTCCCGCCCAGCTCTGGCGAGACTTGGCTATTATCTGCAAGAAAGGGTCTGGGGCTTGGGGTTCTGGGTGTGACTTCTGCTCTTATCTGAGGCACCCTCTGGAATCCTGCCCAACTCTGCCGAGACTTGGCTGTTATTATCTGCAAGAAAGGGTCTGGGGTTTGGGGTTCTGGGTGTGATTTCTGCTCTTATCTGAGGCACCCTCTGGACCGGCCAGCCCTGGCGAGACTTGGCTATTATCTGCGAGAAAGGGTCTGGGTTTGGGGTTATGGTTGTGACCTCTAGTCGCATCTGAGGCAGCATCTGGCGTGCTTTCTGCTGACACTTGTCTTGCATTTCTGCAGAGAGAGTCTGGGTTTTGGAATCTCGGGTTTATCTGCGATCCCAGGCCACTCTGCAGGATTCTTTTCTGGCGGCCATGAAGACCTTCCAGTCGCAGGAAGCCTCTGGCCGTCTGATCAGCGACAGAGTGTTGCTCCTCGTCTGGATCGGGAGTTCTGGAAGTATTCGGATGTTCTGCCTGGCAAACCAAGGACTCTGTCGCATGAATGCCAGATCTACGACGTCTGTAAGGACGGCCGCGGATGGGTGCACAGTGCGCCCTGGTTCGCAATGTTTTTTGTCTGGTTTTGTTTGCTTTTCTGGCTGAAAGCTGAGGCTGGCAACAGCAGACGCTCTGTGCTGACCTCTCGAGTTCGTGGAGAACTCGAGAGGTTTCTGTCGGAGCCGAAGGGCTGTCTGGCACTCTGGCCCTGCATCTGTGACTTGTTTGTAATTAAGCCCTAATTAATTACCTCTGATATAACCCTAATCCCATCCGAGGTTGGCTCAGCATCCTCTGCTGTGTCAACGAGATGCTCTATCTGATCGTGCAGGATGCTTTGTTCTCGAGTCTGGGTTTCTGGCTTAAGTACATATTTCGATGCTCTGCAGGAGGGTCTGGACGAGCAAAGCATTCTGAGAATGAATGGGAATGTGAAGTTCCTCTGGGAGCAGCTTCTGGGTTGCACATTCCTGTTTCAGTTGCATTCTCTGTCTGCCCTGGTCTGCACTCTCTGTCTGCCCTGCCAGCTGCGACTGCTTCAAAGCGAAAGAGTTCTGCGAGTACCGTCTGGACTCTGTCGGGGATTGGGCACTCTGGGTCACTTCCTGCCGCTTGCCTGCAATAACCTGTTCTGAAGCACTTGTGTATCTGGCATTTGACATGTCTGTGACCATTGCTTATCTGCCATCCAAGTTATGGCTGACCAGAAACAGCACCAAGTGTATCTGCGGGACCTCTGCTTGTACTACCATTCTCGGCAGATGGGACCGTCTTGGGAGGAGGTGTGTCTGAAGGCTGGGACTTGATTATCTGGATAATTAATTACTGACTTTTTAATGATTAATTATTAAATTTCCACTGTCAGGTCTACTTCCCCTCTGACTACATGAAGCCGTGCCTTATCTGATGTGTATCCTCTGCAGTTTCCATAATTAGCTGCTTTCGGTGGCCTCTGCCCAGGCTCTGGCCAAATCTGGTGCCGGTGGCTGGTGTGAAGGGCTCTGGAGCCTGAGGTCCGCTCGGGTTGAACTGGTTGATTAGGCTTCTGGTGCTTTTCCTGCTGGCAGGAGCTCTTGGCGCAGATTCTGGCTTGGCTGGTGTATCCGGTCATCTGGCTGAGGCCAGATCTGAATCGCCCTCTGGTGCACCCCCAGTCTAATTAGGGTTTTGGAAGCCCAGGATCTGCTGCAGATCTGGAACGATCTGGATGTATCTGGCAAGGAGGGGTCAGGGTTTGGGGTTCAGGGTTTCAGGGTTTGGGATTTAGGGTTCAGGGTTTGGGGTTAAGGGTTTCTGAGTCTGGGGTTAAAGGTTTCAGGGTTTGGGGTTAAGGGTTTCAGAGGGGTTAAGGGTTTCAGGGTTTGGGGTTAAGGGTTTCAGAGTCTGGGGTTAAAGGTTTCAGGGTTTGGGGTTAAGGGTTTCAGAGTTTGGGGTTTAGGGTTCAGGGTTTGGGGTTAAGGGTTTCAGGGTTTGGGGTTAAGGGTTTCAGGGTTTGGGGTTAAGGGTTTCAGAGTCTGGGGTTAAGGGTTTCAGAGTCTGAGGTTAAGGGTTTCAGGGTTTGGGGTTAAGGGTTTCAGAGTTTGGGGTTTAGGGTTCAGGGTTTGGGGTTAAGGGTTTCAGAGTTTGGGGTTAAGGGTTTCAGGGTTTGGGGTTAAGGGTTTCAGAGTCTGGGGTTAAGGGTTTCAGAGTCTGAGGTTAAAGGTTTCAGGGTTTGGGGTTAAGGGTTTCAGAGTTTGGGGTTTAGGGTTCAGGGTTTGGGGTTAAGGGTTTCAGAGTTTGGGGTTAAGGGTTTCAGGGTTTGGGGTTAAGGGTTTCAGTGTTTGGGGTTACGGGTTTCAGAGTTTGGGGTTTTGTGTAATTAGGGTTTCAGGGTTTGGGGTTAAGGGTTTCAGGGTTTGGGTTTAAGGGCTTGGAGTTATATAATTAATTATTTAAGGGCTTGGGGTGAAGGGTTTAACTAAATAATATAGCAATATTTATTAATAATTAGTATTAATAACTCTAAGAATAACAACGAGAATAAGGATAATAAGAACA